AATACAAGCCATCGTGCGGGAGTATCGAACTCTCACTCGGTCAAACGAGGATATTCGACTCTTGCGTCGTTCCATTTCACATGTCTTCGATCGCTTTTTCCTTCGGTGAACAGCCGCTCTGCCTCGGCCCCCAATCCCACCCGCGGGTGTCTGACCCCAAAGACAATACACTGAGAATGTGGTTCGAAGAAAAAATTGGAGCAGACTTGAGGGAAAATAAAGAACTAAAAGAAAATGAACTAAACGTGGGCATGTGTTTTTTAATCCGTTGAGTGAGATAAATTATTCATCTGGTGATATTAAGGAGGTTGGTTACCACAATTGGTGGGGATAGGCAAGGGGTCGAGTGGAGCACTGAACGGCGCCGCCTTGAATTATTCTACGAGTGGAATGAACTTAGGATATTACACTTTTTTAATAATCATAAATGCACGAAGGAATGTAAAATGAACTTTTTATCGAAAAAAAATGTACACTGGTAGTTTGCCTTTGGGAAAAATACAGGTACACTTCTGAGAAATTTTCATCAAGTGACAGTTACGCTGAAGGTTGAAACAATTTCAATTTTGAAAATTCACAAATTGATGGAAAAATCAACGGAAAATGTGAAGTTCAAGTCATTTATTCTATGAAAATGAATAGGAATCAGTGAAATTCAGCGGAATTAGGTACTGAATATTTATGTTTTGCTCAAAGTTGCAAAGAAGTTGCGGAATTCTCGTCTTTCTGCTGCTTAAAACTTTTCAAGTCTATTGGATTGTTTGGGAAATTTGAAATTTTATGATGGTTCTTGACGCTCAATCGAATTTAAGATCACAGAGAATAGTAGATTTCATCATTTAGACCCACAAAGTATTCCTCGTCTTCGGCTCGGATTATAAACTCACATTCGTCAGAAAATACTTTGTGAACCTTATGAAGAAAATGATAATTGTGGGCCGTGACATTTTTCAAGTTCTTCATTTTCAACTTCCAAGTGTTTCAAAAATTTCAGCAAAAAAATTTCGCCAGTCCACATCCTGACCATTCTTCTGTCTTTGTGGGGCTAGTTCAAAGGAAAATCTCCAAAATTTTCCATAACTCGTGGTATTTCCCTATTTGTAAAGTGAAGAATATCAAAAATTCCAGGAAAGATTATACAAATAGCAGGAGGGTACATGGGAGTTTGTAGTGGTGTGGAAGGGGAATAGCAGAGGGGAGGGTGAGGGGTTCAGACCAAAGGATCGAGTGCTTTGAATGGGCACTCCTGGGAATCTGTAAGAATGAAGAAGCAGGTCACCGTCATCGTGACACACAGAGAGACGCCGGTTGCCGCGACGCTGGTTGTCGCGTGGGCGTTACGGAATTGTCCCGCGGGGGAGTGTGAGGAAAGAGGTGGAGTTTGATAGAGTGGGGATAGGATGGGTGAGAAGGGGGGTGAAAAGCTTTAGTAGGAAATGATGGAGAGAAGAAAAGGGTGCAGAGTCGATCGGTTCCCGACCTCGCCAACTCTGGGGCTCAACGTGGCCTCGCCATTCACCCGTACTGTCACTGCTTCATTCTGTAGAGCTTTGTCACATACCGGGAGGGGGCGAGGGGAAGCCGTGGGAAGAGAAGTTATGGAGAGAAATCCTGAATTTCTTTTGGAATTAGTTTGGAAAATTGTGGAAATTGTACAGGAGAAAAAAGTTTCTAGTTTTCTGTAAAAATCCATCATATTTTATAGCTCGGAAAAATATCCGGATCTTTCTAAAAAAAGCATGAGAAATATCGAATCGAAAATGAGAATTCCAAATAGGAACCCGAGTAGACCCTAGTCTCCAACCAAATCTATTCGTTAACAATAACTAATCCTTTCTATCAGTGTATCGAAGAGCTATGCGGTGCGTCACAATGCGTCACAACACTCAACAGAGAGAAAAAAAATTGAAAAAGAAAGAAAAACGCAGCGGCGACGAGCATTGACAAACACTTTGGTGCGTTGAATGTTATTTTGCAAAAATACATAGCTAAAAGACGAGGTAGTACGCACTGTAAATACAAATCAAGCAGGCTCACCTTGAACCTTGGAAGCTCACACGGAGCGCTCAAGAACGCATTACAATTAATAATTTTACATTGGTAAAGATGATAATGATGATGATGATGGGTGGTATGATAATGTGAGCGGAAATAGTGGAACAATTCTGTCCTGCCATTGAAATAGCCGTAGGAACTTGAAATAATTCAGTAGCGAAGTGGTAAAACGGTTCGTCGATTTTGACTATTGACCAGTTTTTAGTGAATACCTCGGAATCTAAGGGAGATAGTTAAATTTTCATTCAGACCTTTTTTGTAGCATTCAATTTGCTCTAGAAAAAAAGTTATTACGAAAATTTCATTATCTCCCTTAGATTCGGAGATTTTCTTCAAAAACTCAACTAAGAGATAAGTCGACTTAAGGGGAGACTACTATGTGTTTTAAAAGTGGTGGGTTATTGGATTGAGACTTTTCATGCATTGAAGATCGATTATATAGATCTGAAAATAAATAATTAGTGCAAAAAAAATTTTTTTTATAGTTCGTTTGCTCGAAAACGCTTAAAATGCTAAAAACAGTCCAGGGCCTCCAATTTTTGAGCTACAACAGATTATTTTTTTTAATTTTCGGAAAAATGAGTGGAGCATCAATTACGAGCCAAACGAAGAAGTAGTGCTAGAAATTAGTTGTTGCTTGCATAGAGAATAAAATATTTTTGAAAAGACTACATATATTTTTGCAATAAAAATTTCCAATCTCGGTGCACGCTTCGCATGTTTGGCACAAAAAAAAAATACTTTTGATCATTTTCACCAATTTTTTTGGGGCAAAATGAGTCTTTTAATTTTTAATTAAATTTCTCTGTTTCTTGAACAACGTGAAGTCTTCCATTTTGTCAGATTGTCAAACGAGAAGGATAATCCTTTGATCAGCAGATGTTCTCCATTTGAAGAGCTCTTCAATCAAATGGTCTGAGAAAGAATTACAAGAATGTATGGGTAGTCGGTGTCATTCAAGTTCCATTGCGCAATAAAGTTTTTTCTTAGAATTTTTTGCTTATAAATAAGTGATGGAAAAAGGTCGTAATCTTCAAGAATTGTAACTTTGTAGCTGTTTTATGATTCTTCCGCAAAAACTAGACTTTTTACTCTGCCATATTTCTCGAATATTTCAAACCGTTCAAAATACTCGGAGAGAATTTTTTTTCTATTGAAATTTCCCCCCACATTCTGGTGCAGAAGAATACAGTAAATTGAAAGAAATTTCCAATATTATCGGGGAATTGCCGCACGACACGAATTGTCACACGACATACAACGTTATAATCATATTCGTGAGACAGTACTTTTATCGCCTTATGACATAATATACAATTTTTTGATGATTTTTAAATGATTTTTTTGACACAAGCAATACTTGTTTGAGGACTCTACTGTTTTTCTCTTAGTGTGAGAATTTATTTTTCTCTGGATGAATGAAATGAAAAAAATGACTAAAGTACTTAGATACCCTCATGCTCTCAAACGCGATGAATATTTCTTGAAATGATAAAAAATTGGAGGAGTGAAGTTTTTCCACTGCGCAGCGACAAAGTTACTTCCAGTGTTGGGTAATGTTCAATGTTACAGTTAATTGAAGCATCATAGATTACCTTGAGCTCAACGGTAGGTCAACCAGCGAAGAACCCAATCCATACCGATAACTTCAATTTTTCTCCTTTCATTAAACTTTCAGGCGAGAAAAAACAAAGGAAAGTTCCTATAAACATACCATTTGATGATTGATTAATAATAAAACAGGAACTTTCCGTCACACTACATCCGCTCATTCACTGGGCATAAATGATTCATTAATTTTTTACATACCATCTGAATGTTTTACACGTTGATGATTACCGAGTGAATTCCTCACGGCAGTTGGATAACGATTGTCAAATACCATTGCATTGAATTTCTCTCATACCCTTCCCCTAATACCACTGGTTTGATACCCGTCTTGGGCAATTTAATGCGATTCCGGTGGCACGTAAACTGCCTGCGACCTTCAATGGATGGTTTAAGAGCCGTCACGAGACGGCTGAAATTCCATTCGTGTCTAATCAATTGAATAAGTAGTTGAAATATTCCGAAACTATTTGAAAGGATATGTCAAATATCTTTGATTGTGGTATTCTAGAAAAATTGTGAGATAACAAAAATTCATAAAGTTCAAAGTTGGAACGGAAAAAGTCAGTATTGAAGGCGAATTTCTTATCAATGTATGTGATCCTCGCTGAGAAAAAGAATTACTTTTGCCAAGGAATCATTTCCTTGGGAGAAGCATTTGTTTTTTTAGGAGTGTATTTCTCAGGTGGTCCATGTCCATTTCCAAATATTACAATTGTGTTGAATAAATGACCACTTTTTCAAAGATTCATAATAAATTAATCATGCTAAAATGGTTGAATGTATAGTGTGGTCTGTACACTGATAGAACGGATTAGTTATTGTTAACGAATGGGTTTTGGTTGGAGGTTAAGGTCTATTCGGTCTCACCAAATGTTCATTCGTTAAAAGTTAACGAATCTCGTTTGGAATAAATGAATCATTCTATCAGTGTACCAAACTGTAAAAGATACTTGGATATCCTTAAATGAAATTGCCCGTTACGCGAAGTTGCCGGAAACACGCTAAACGGGCCTGGGCAGTGTACAGTAAATTCGGCAACGCTGAACCCTAAACAACGGCCGTGAATCCCCACCGAGGTGACCGAAGTCGCAGGGTCCCGTATGGTAACCAGACTAAGATGAAGCGAGTGAATGGAATTTTTATTACACGGTTTTTTATACATAAATTTGCTATAGAAAAATGTTGTTACTTTTTCTTTCAAAGCAAAATCCCAAAGATTGACCCCCAATTGAAATAATACATTTTTCCTTTACAATTCATTCAACTACTTTTTCCATGTCGAAATAATTATTATACTGTACTATAATACTATCATTATTTAATTATTTTTACAGACGGCACTAAGTAATCTAGAAGAAATGCAACACAATCCAATGCTGTACAGGAGTAATGAACGTGGTCGGAGTATGCACGGTGTTGGGCCAATGAGATCACGACCGATGGAAAAAAGATACGATACATCACCCTATAGTGGTACATACCTGTCACCCCCACTGCCAGACACATGGAGAAGAACGAATTCGGATTCAGCGTTACATCAGAGTGCCAATGAGGCCTGCCAGGCCACCTCACCAATTCCTCATCGCAGAGGTAGCGATGCATGTCGGTGTTGTTTCCTTTGTTTTATTTTTCCCAATTTTTTCACCATTTTCTATTGCTATTGATAATCTAAGTAGCAATCCCTGCAATGAAATTTGTTCTCCGGATATTGCTGAGGATTTTTGAAACGACACATGTCACAATTTCTTTCACTAGGATTAATCAAGTACAGTTGAATGAACATAACTAGAAATAATTCATTGTTCATGGGAATTTTCAGCGAGTGGGGTTTTCAGACGATTTTGATAATTAATTGGTATAAGTCTGAACTGAAAAAGATGTTGATAAGTCCCATATATTTGAAAGTAGGAATACAAATTTTTATGGATTTTTCATTCACGAAGTTTTTGTGTGAAAAGAACGAATCAAAAAACGGCGGGGATTCCGTCATTATGCAACCACTTAAGAGATCCGATCAATTAGCCCGTCATGTATAGATATTCCAAATTTTTATTTTTTTCCTCATTGCAGTAGTTTTGAAGAAAATTGCGAGCTAATAAAAAACATTGCTAGTTAGTACTTTTTTTTAAATAAATTTTTGAAAAATCACCTCTGAAAAAAAAGGCGTTATCGCCTCTATTTCATTATTAAGACCTCTTAAGATGGTCTTGAGCCAGGGGAGACTCCCTCCACCCCAATGTTCTAAACACACTCCTAGACCCCATTGCCCTCCTAGACAATGTTGTCACAACTCTGCTTTTCAATTGAAAACAGACATCATCTTTAGAGACATTTGTCATGTTTAGAGGCCCTAGCACGCCATTTCTCGACCCGCTCTTTCATTTGAGCCCAAAAAAACATTCATATCTTGTCTGACATCGCTGCTACAAACTCGGGTTTTCAACTCGGGTTTTCAACTGAAACCGGCAACGCTAAAGCCTAAATAACATGGCGGGGAATCCCCGCGGAGGTGACGACAGTCGCAGGGTCACGTTTGGTGACCAGACTAGAGTTAATGAAACTTATTCTCTGTGTGAACGTTTCAACCCCAATCAAAGAAAATTTGTCGCCTTCGCAGTAAAAAAAAAAACAAAAATGTGATTTTTCAAAATCTCATTTCGTCGCAGAGATTGTCCTCCTTGCATATCTTTGAATTCACGCTCATGACCCGAGAATTCATATTTTCCATTGCTCATTACAGATCAACATGCGATGGGCAACACCTCTGGGGACAACAGGGATGGCCATCATGGGTTTATCGAACGACCAAGATCTTCCTGTGAGATGCCTCGAGTGCCCGGAATACAGTAAGTCAATTATCTCAGCAAAATTGACTTTTCATTCGATCTCTGTCAATAGTTTATTTGTATCTATGGGCGGGGGGCGGAGGGTAATCCAATAATGCAGTTATAAAGAAAAAAATTGAGCCGGAGTTAAAATTGTATGGAATGATAAATATCCGGATTAAATGGTTCGCTCGACCAATCGAGTAATTGTGCAGAGTACTATGCATAATTGAATGGGCACAAAATCCGGTATTTGACGAGAGAGCGACGGCTGAGCGAGGGTTATTTTCGTGGGCTAACTCTGATACCCGTGACCGGTCAATGATTCGCAAATAAAATTGTTACCAATGGCCTCATATACCCGGGGAGAGAATACTCGATAGCAAATCACCACACTCAATGCTCATGAATCATTCATCGTTTCGGATTCTACATTTCGTATTGTATACAAAATTAAAATTTCAGTTGAAGTGGTAGGAACATACTCCAAAAAAATGCCCACTGGGTTTTAATGTTTAAAGTGTTTTATCTAAAACGTCAAAATAATGAAAAAAAATTTTTTTTTTAATTCAGGGAAGTATCTGAATATGCTGCATCACTGGGGTTTTTCCCAAAATTTTCCCAGATCTTACGTTCGAGAAAAAAATGATGAATTCGAAAATTTTTCTCTGATGGCTTTAAAAATAATGAAAAATGCGTGAAAAACTAGTATGAGAGAAAGTAAATCCTGATTTCAATTTATGAGAGTTTTAACCCTGTTCTAGATCTTTTGACGAAGACATACTGAAAAATAAAGCCCCAAAATTTGAGCCCAAATCGTCGATTTTTGCGGTTTTTCGTTCACTCCATAATGAAATGTGACAACGTCACTCTTGACCTCTTTGGCGCAAAATTTGAACGTCGTACGAATTTTCTAGTCATTCGGTGTAAATTTTACGGAGAATATTGATTGCAACAAAAAATAACGAATTGTATTCTGCTATTTTTTAATACTTTTATTATTCTCAACTTGGTTTGCAAAATCGTCTGTTTTCTCATTACTCTCCTTGTAATGAAAATATTTATTACTAAAATTTATGCCAAGGTATTCTCATTGAAAATATTTAAATCGAATAGATTTGGTAGAAAAATGAAAATTCGTAGATTTTTTAGGATTGCAAATAGTTTTCATTCGAATTTGCCATTGAATAAAACCGCAGGAACGTTGGGGAATTTTTTGATAGGATTGACGAAAAATCAGTAGAATTTTCCATAAAAATTCAATCGAATTTTGTAGCGGATGGGCTAGTTTATGCTATATAAAGAATTCAAACACCGAATGAAATAAAGTTCTGAGGAAAATAATTAACGCACGTATTTCACGGAGGAAGTTGTTTGACATGAGAAAATGCGAGAGTAATTCATCAAGCTCAAACAGAAATTTCCAATTACACGCAGTGTTCATACTCCGGAGATTTTGATGCTGGGGGATATTCCCACAACATATAGGGGAGTTGAACAAAGGTTTCCAGCGGGTTATGAGGTTTTTTAATTGAGTTTTTTTCATGTGAAATAATGGTAGAATGCTTTTAGCTTGGAACTTGGGTTTTGATTTGATCTTTATGAGAATACGCGATGGAACCAGTCACTCCGATGAAATTGGTACTCGAAAAATTGGATTTCTGGGATTTTTCAATATGAAAGATAGAGAGTTCTCTTTGACTGAGGATGATCAAAGTTAATTGGATGTGACACACCTGTGAATGATCGATTGAATCAATGAAATTTGTCAATTAAATTGCGTGAGAAAAATTGGATTTGTTTTTTATATTTTTCAAATGTTTTCCAACGGTTCAATATCGAGATTCAAATTCAAAACTGCAAAGTTTAAATAATAAAATCGTCGTAAAATGACCAAAAACTCAGGGTAAAATAGGGCTGAAATGAAAGGTCTGATGTTCGACTACAAAAGTATTAAAAAGAAGATTTCAGTGGAGAACAAGTATCCAAAGTACATGAATATCCTTAATGATTTATCCTCCACGAAATTAACTTTTTAATAATTCTTTTTAATAATTCTTTTTCAGCATATATCCAAGCTCACAACCGCCAGGTCCCCAGACGCCAATCGGTAATAATACGGGTTCTCTGCCAGATCTGAGCAACGTTCACTTCCCATCACCACTTCACACACCACTGGATCAAGAGGATCACTCGAGTAGTACGCAGTATAGCAACGTGAGTCATGTTGTCATTCATATATTCTCCCACAAAGTACCGAAATCGTTTTCCAAAGGATCAACGAAGATTGATGATTATAAATAAACAAAACAGGGAACAAACGAATCGTCAAGATACTATCAAGCACAGTATTTCACATTTTCATTTTTACATTCGTTTCAATGATATTAAGATAATTAAGCTTGATTGAGGTATTTCATTTTCTTCGCTTTTCTAACAGCGTGTTCAGTCCGATGCCACTTCCATAGATTTACCGAAGGTATGCCAAGGAATTACTCCGGTTTTCTTTCTGTCCGAGTGTATTACACATTTTTCTTCAATTTAAAAAAATTCATATTGTACCATTATTTTCCATGTTATTTATTCGCACAATGCTTTAATCGGATTTAAATATCAAAATAAAGATAATAAAGCAAATGCACATTTTTTTTTACTCACGTAAATTGTTATGAAGGTATTTATGGCGGGCATGTAGGAGGTGAGACGGAGGGAAATCTATTGTTTTCGCAGGAAACCAATCGCTGAACAAAAAAAACGATATTTCAATTACAAATTTTCAATCTATTTCGACCATTTTTGTGTTTGAAATATTTTTTAAATAATTTTTCTATTTTTTCCCACATATTTCAAGCCTTCTTTTATTTTCATAGAATCAAATTCAGACCTAGAATCAAATCGCAAAAATCGAGACTTTTTTTTCTAGTTTTAATATTTTTTTTTTTCGAATTCTCATAAGGGTCCGTGTTAAAATGTATTTTTTAGAAAAATTCCCGTTCACCCATTCCCCTAGGCTATATGGGATTTTGCATAGGGGTTGTGAAAAAATCAAAGAATGTATAAAAAAATCATCCATTTCTTGACATTTTCGACCGCCCTGACCACGCCATAAATACCTTAGGACTCTGAATATTCAAATTATTTCATGACTCTAGCACGAAAAAAACATTTCATATTATTCGTGTAAATTCGTGTGGAATGTCCAGGCGATAAAAAATGTATTTGTGAGATTGGATTAAAAAAAGGAGAAATCGCTCTGTGGATTTATTCCAGAGTCCTCAAACGGGCAGTCCTACGACCTTGTCGCCAACCAGCTTGGCACAAGCTGGGAGGCTGTCCTTTTCACAGGAACACAGTCCACCAGCCGCCCAAGTAAATATTCCTGGTCCATTCTTAGATTGTGTTGTCTGGATTGTTTAGTCGTAGTCAGTTGTTGAACGGAAACAACATAAAATGTTGAATAAATTAGATTGATCGAGTCTGAAACCCTAGACGATAGAGGAATAATCATAAATCAATGAATAAAGTCTCTTTTTTGGCGAGAGAGATGGACCAAAAAATATTTTAGACTGTTTGTTAATGGGTTTCGAGTGGAACCATGGATTAAAACACCTAAGATAATGTTTTTGGGGCCCACAACTTCACTGTCTGTGCTTGAAACAAACTGCATGATTGTAAGGCGCTCACGTTGAATAAAAACAAGTGGATAATTGGTTATTTTTGGTGGTTGTATGCCTGCTTCTGCTGATTAATTACCAATTTGCTTCTGAATGGATGTCATTTTTGGGCATATTCTTGCTGTTTTCAATAAAATCAATTGGTCACTGGCCTTTTTTTCTAATCAACATTTTCATTAAATGTTCAAATTTTTCGTGTTTTTTCATGCAAAATTTTGGTTTTTGTCTCGGCTTGTCTCGTTTCGATTTTCTACATATAAAAAGCGCGAAAAAGTTTAAACCGAAATGAGAGAAATTGACTCGGAGTCATCACGAGAGGAGTCGATGCTGCGTATTTTTAGACTGAGACGAGAGCAAAGATTTCCATGCTCATTGAGACCGAGATTCTCTCTCCAAAGTTTTGTCTCACGATGTCTCATGAAATGTCTCGCGGCATCACTACTCTCGCCCTCAATTTTCAGAATATAAGGTAGAAAGGTCATTCTACCTTTCGCGTTTCACCATTTCTGACACTCTCATTATCCTTCATTTATCACTCATTCTTTTTTTTTATATATTAAGATTTCATTGTTACCCAGAATGATACCTCCATTCAGGAGAATTTTCTTCTCCCACCTCACTGGTATGGTTATCACCTTCACGAAAGAGCCAAGGGAAGCCTACCCGTGTGTTTCGAAGGTATCCTCAATCCATTGTAGTGGAAAAGGCCGTAAGTTGGCTGCATGAAAGAGATTGCTATCATCAGCTCGATCATCATCTACCCTTTTGTTCCTTATCCCCTGGCGCTTATTTTCTTCCCTCATTCTACCTTTCGCGTTTAACCATTTCTGACACTTTCATTATCCTTTATTTATCACTCGTTCTTTTTTTTTCTCCCCGAAACAAGGTTTTTTTTTACTTTTATTTATATTTTAAACACTTTTTGATTTTGCCTTTTTTTGTAGTGGTTTCTTTGTCTTTATTATTTTGCAGAACCATTTATCAGTGCCTGTTAACTCTAGGTTCCTCCATACATGTAAGGTCAGTAGTAAACAGATTTTTTTTTTGTTTTTCATTTTGCTTCTTGCAATTTCACGAGTAAATTTTATTAATACATGCATCTACCTCTTCTGTGATTGCATGGGCGAAAGAGATTCGCGATTCATCAGTTAAGGGGATGCGTTGGTGAAATTTAAGTCTTCATTGGGCCTTGCCCCTCATTTAAATTTCACCGACGTATCACCTTAATTCATGCAATTTGAGGTTTTGATTAATCAAAGTTTATCCTGTAATCACAGAATTCGTTCCTCAGCCAAACCCATATATTTTTTGATCGATATTTAAAATGATCCTCTGCATTTGAGCGACTCGTTTGAATGGATGTTTCGTTTAAAACTAGTGAAGATAATTTTAGCTTTGAATTTCAGATTTATACGAAGGGTGAGGAATAGGATTTATTGAAGTGGAAAGAATTTTTTTTTGAAGTTGCTATTGAGTTTCAATTTAATGTTATTCTATTTATATAGAAGTGAAGTGAGATGGGGATAAAATCTGCGAGGAATGGACGTTATAGAGGTTTACTCAAACTTGATAGATGCCACTTCCTGAGATCGTGAGACACAGTGTCTCTGTTTGTGTTTTCAATTTGAGAAAATCCTTGAAATGAGTGCAGTTCAGAGAAAAATTTTATAGAAAAACCTAGCGCTTTCGCCAGAGAATCCTATTAGACTTCCATTGACAATTTTATTAGTTTTTCCCCAATTCTTTGGAAAATTCCGCAAACCATTCACCCATTTTTTAAATATAAAAATTGATTATACAACTTATTCCATTCAGATATTCTCACAGTTTTTATTTTTTAGCCGTATTTTTTCCTTTTCTCATAAAAAAATTCAAGAAAAAAAAAAGGAAAATTCGTGCCTAGGAAATTTTATAGAAACAATCTCAACAGTATTATAAAAACAAAATTTGTGATGAAATCTCTTCTTAAAAAATTCATAGAAAAGATGGTGAATTTTTCAATCGAGTCAGCGAAAAAATTGTGGAAGTAATTCAATAGAATTTTCTAGCCAATGCCTTCAATCGATTCATCAATCTTTCTAAAATCAATGACTTCTCTAAATTTTACTTCTCACTTCAATCCATCACATTCCCACCAATTGAACAGTGTAATACCTAGTTACATGTTAGAGATATGAAGAATTGAAGAAAAATCAATAAGTAAAGTGGAACACTTGGCATTAATTTCTTGAAGTCAAATTTATTGGGGGATAATAATTTTCACCAGGGTGTGGCATTGGAGAATAGCACAAGCACTTCGCAACAGGATCTACAGTCCTACGGGCAAACGTCCGCTCAACCACCCCCTTCTGCGTCACACAGTCCTGCTCACCATTACATTTATCAACAGCCACACAGTCCAGTGCCACCACAAAGTCCCGTGAGTGTGAAATAAATTTTAATAAATCGCATTCATTAATTTTATTGCACGATTTCAGAGAACTCTAGAGAGTTTTTTTTCTTGAGTCGGGGGATTTGGACAATTGTGTTACGTCCATTCGATACATAAATTTTTTACAATGTTTTTTTTCGTATCTGTATCAATAAAACGTAACAGCGCAGAAGACTTGATTTTTTCTATTTTTGTGTCATTGGATTATCTCGATAAGTGGATTTAGGAGGCAATTTTGAAATATCTTATTGCAGACAATTCCTTCAACTGCAAAAGGGTATTTATATTTTGGCCCAGATCAACTCGTTCTCGAGATATTTCGGGTGTAGGAGAACTTAATGTCTCATTAAAAATTCAATTCAGCAATCGATCCATCTTATCATCTCAGTATCTACTGATTTAGAGTATAGGAAAGGTCTCTTGAAGTTTCGTCCCAAGTGCACTTGTTTTTAAGATTTCTCGTGTTTCAGAAAAATTAATTTTCGATCAAACACTGGAATTACTGATATATTTATCTAATTTCCGGAATAACTAGGGGAGGATAGGGCAAAACGGACGGGGAGGGCATAACAGACCACTGACAGAAAATGGGTGATTTTTTTTTTCTTTCCTTCAAATCAGGAACACAGAATGTGTTGAATTAAAAGTGAGTTTCTTGGATCGTAACCGTCACAGGGGTTTTATAGACAAAAAATGTCATTGAACCGCAATTTGATCAGATTTGCTGATCACCTCAAACCACAAATGACTTCAAATTTGCTCCATTCGGAAGCAAAAACAAAAATTATTAATTTTCTGTCAGAGGTCCGTTTTGCCCTACACTTCCTTATGATATGAGAATGGAATAGGAGTAAATGGAATGGAATCGGAATAAATATGGAGAGACTCTTCGTTGAAAATTTTTCTTATTTGCAGAAAAGTTCTTTCACATTTTATTCCAAACTTCTTTCTTCGAACTTTTCCTGCCTGGAAAGTGCACTTTTCGAAACGGTTTATTGTGCGTAAAGTGAATTTCGAGTGCGTAAAACGAAGCTCTTGAATTTTACGCGCGTCGTGTGAAAAACAACCACTTTACGCACACTAAACCCTTTCGAAAAGTGCATCTTTCAGGCCGGCATCACAAAAAAAAATTATTAATCGAAAATACTATGATAAATAAAATCATAGAAATGCGAAAAAAAATTGGTATTTTAGTGTCATAATTCGATTACGATGATTTCCTTAAAAACAGTCAATTTGTTAAATATACTCATTCTCTTCTCTGTCCTTCAACTTTAGAAAACATCACAACCTCAACATCAACAACAGCTCAATTCCCTCGTTTCGTACAGGACAAACCAGCCAGTGAGACCCTCCCCGCAGTCATCACCTGGATTGACAGTTCAAGTGAGAATTCTTAAACAAATTCTTCATTCACCAATTTCTCCTCAATTCTCCATTGATCAACGGTTTAATTCAATTTCAGGGGAGCCCTCTGAGCTACAGTAACAATCCATCGGCACCACCGAGTCCCACAGGCCATCCAGGACCACCGAGCCTCACGTCAGACAGCATAGACCAGAACAGCTACTTCATTAATCAGGCACAGGCTGCTGCACTCCAGCAGACGTTTGAGCAGTTTAATATGGTTAGTAATTAATTATTGATTCGTGTATGAATGGGTCAGCCTACGTCAACATTTCCACTATTTTCAACCTCTAAACTCGCAATTATCACCAATATAATTTGAGTCCAGGCGGCAAACAAAGTTAAGCTGTTTCGTGTGAAAAGTCAAAATAATGAAAAAAAATTGGAAAATTCATGAGAGAAATGTCTAAGTATGCTGCATCATTGAGAATTTTTACACATTTTTTGCAGACCTCCATCTCAAGAAGAAAAATGATGAAATTTGGATGTTTTTGTAACTCCTCCAGCCTTCGAGGTTACCCACTCTCAATCAGGGAAATTTCCATGGCACTCAAAAAAATAATGAACTATTGAGAAAAAAACTAGAGGGTGATGAGTCAAATCTTTCTTGAGAATACGTATAAGTTTCAGATTTTTTTCAGATCTCATAAGAATGTTATTTGAACGAATGATTCGAAAAATTATGAGTTTCGGAGCAATTACGCCTTCACGCGAAGGCGCGTGATTCTAATGTCAGAAAAGGTAAGGGTTGGACCATGGAAATGAGAGAGAGAGAGAAAACACTCGACAGGTTTACCAACTCGAGACGCATTTTCATATTATTTTAATAATTAGAAAAGCATCCAATAAAAATTATTTGACACCCGTAGGTGATGAGAAAAAAATCAATCAATCTGATAAATAAAATCAATATTCAAAAAATGTTCAAATGCAATAGTTACTTGAAAATTGGAAAATTTTGCGCTCAGCGATTGAATCAGGGCTCGAGAACAATAAGACTCCCCTTCCATTTCATTCCACCGGTGATCTACACACGAAACCCCTTAAATCTATAAAAAACGGAGTTTGATTCACAAAAATCGATAATTAATGAGTCACGTCTGCTTTATGTCTGTGCTTACCAAAGGGAGTGGTAAGTAAAAATTCATTGATAAATTCAAGTCAATTAAAAACCTCAACTTCAAAAACTCAATTTCGTTTTTTCCCCCTCTTCCATTCCAATAAAATTCACGAAATATCAGGAAGTGGTGAGTAAATCTCAATTCTCATGATGAAAACAAAACAATCGTTGCGAAATTGCCAGAGTTTAGGCGATATGTAGTGGGAAGCATGCGAAAATTCTAATGAAAATTACCTCCCTCACATTGTGACTCAAAAGCTCCAATTCTTTATTCTGTTACCTGCCTACCGTTAGGACTGGGCCCAAGTGGTGCAGCAGCTCGTGGAGTCCGGTTGGACCTCGCAGGTAGTTGTTATTCCCCTCCAACCGTCGTAGAACAACGATACCATGTAGAATAGCCTTGTACTGGTGTACCTTCTGGGCGCTCCTTCTACGGAGACACTGGGGGGGTTCATTGATATAAAAACGACAATCAGTAGAAAATGCGGTGGGTTGATGAATAACCCCAGTGTACCCGTAGAATGATAAAAACCACCTTTCTCCCTGGATGATTTTCCCAAACAAATATTCTTCCCATAATAAAAACAAAAAATGCATATTGTCCTCTCCACGAATTCGCACAATAACGAATGACATTTTACCCCCGAAATTCCATATATTAATTAAGAGTAGAAACTTGATAAAAACATGAAACTACGAATAAAAAATACCGGAGCATTTTCTCTCGCGAAAATGGCAAAAATGCTGGGAGACAGGCTACCGAACACGGTAGGCGATCGATGGCTGCTCCAGTCCGTAAAAAGCCCACTAAAATGCTTTCAGCGTCGAACAACAGAAAAAAAAACGCGAACGGTATCATGCCAGAATAATTAAAAGAGAATTATGTTTTATGTTTGCACTAGATGGACTCAACGGTGGATCCCAACAGCATTAGTTCGTACATTGGCTCGACGAACGACACGTCAAGCTACAGTCAGGTGAGTCCATCCTACAATTTACCCCATCTACCAAAGGATTTGAATAATAAATTAATTGTTGCCTGGGGCTATTTATGATTTTTTCATGATTCTTTGTTATTCCAACAGAATGATATGATTAATGTGGGAGGGGAATTGAGTAGCAGCGACGGGGGATACTACAGTACGAGTCCTCAGATGGCATATCAACCGAGGACACCAACTACGACGCAACAGCTGACGCCTCAGACACCGAATACACCTACTATTATACTGACAGGTAAATAATAATATTAAACTTAAAATAATATAATAATAAATATTAAACATGGAGCCATTTATAAAACACATCGACACGTCGACACACCCGCACAGAATAACAACCTAGACGTGTCCACATTAACCCTAGTCTGGTCATCAAACGCGACACTGCGACTTGGTCACCTCCGCTGGGATTCCCCGCAGTATTAGATTCTAGCGTTGCCGAATTTACTCTACAGTGCCCGGGCGCGTTTAGCGAGTTTCCGGCAACTTCGCGTCACGAGAATTTCATTTAACATGGGAAAAAATAATTCATCCGTCCGAAATAATTTGTTTTCTTTAGGAATTTTGGGAAATATGTTGTTCTAAAAACTACTATAATTTTTTAGACACTTCAATTGAGAAATTAATTTTTTTTTTGAATTTTTCCAGTTAGCCAGTCAATTGTAATTAAAGAAAACGACGCGCGGCGGAGTTTTTCTCATCGGGTGACCAATCTAGGGTTAAAGAAGGGAATTTATATAGTGTTCCACATCTTTATAACGTTATAGGAGATGATTCCATGAGATTTGGATGAGGGGAACTGGGATTATTCTCAATATGAATAACCAGAAAATTTTTACTGAAGAAAAATGGCTAGTCCAGACCGGAGTTTGAACCCGGGACCTTCCGATTGTGCATCGGGTCCCATTAGATAGTTTATTCAAATTAAATAAACATTATTTTAATCGAACAAATGGGTTTTTTCGAATAGAAGGCAATAAAACTTGGACTCAACCTTCAACTTGATTTTTATTTGTCGTTTTATTCAAACCCAATGAATAGTGTTTTAAATATAAACATGTATCCTTGATCCAAATAAACTTAATAGGATTTTTTTATTAAAAATTCAGCTACTAAAATAGAGACTATTGAACGAAACAATTAAATTCACAAATTATGTTCGCAGATTTTTCGGGAACAGATGACCTAACGAGCCCAGAGTTTGCCAAGGACTTGGGCTCATCGATGTCGGGTGAGTTTGATCCGGACTTATTTACATCGGACGACGCTCTAAGACAGGGTCTCGGCCCCATTGACCTGGACGGTCTACAGATGCTCACCGATCCTGATATGGTGATATCAGACGCCAATGCCGAAGATCACTTTAGGCTAGATCGTCTTTAAATAATTATTTTTATTTAGCTAGAGAGATAATCATTTGCAAAGCATTTTTCCAATTCCAGAAGCATGAAATAACGTTTATGAGATAATTGAAATTATCGTCGACTCATATGTGGGTTCAATTCACCCCCTCCATGTTTTTCTCCCCTAGGAGTAATTGTTATTTTATCCTGGTGTCGTGGGATTTTAATTTGAAACGAGTACAATTTGATTGACGTTATTCGATAATGCATCGAGTAAATCTATTCAGTCTATTTTTGACAAATTTCTGTGATTGATTTCTATGGGGAGATTGAGTTATTTATGGTCTGATTTGTTTCTGGATATATCTACTGGTGGGGCAGTCAACAGAATTGGGTACCAACTGGTCTTTTCGAAGGTTCGGGGGATTTATATTATTTTATAGGGGGACGTGCAGCAGACTGATTTATTTCAACTGTCGCTTTTCAATTGCTCAATAATTTTGACTTACAGAGAAGGTTTAATGATATTTTAGGGTGTTTGGGCATTGAAGTACTTCAATACTTTCGAAAATTACAAATTGTTATAAATGAATGAATTGTCAAGGAATTCGATTGGAATTTGATTTGGAATTGTTTTTTCTCAATTCAGTAACCGTTTCATAATTTGAAATTTAACGTGATTTTTTTTATAAAAGAGTAGAGAAAAGCTTGAAATTTTGTAAACAATTTTTTCATGTTACATAAATATTTTGGTATTATTTACCAAATATTAAAAATATTGTGTGAAATTTTTTCACGTGGTAGAAGGGATTATGAAGCCTCCGAATTTCGGTCAACTTTGGCAAACAAAAGCTCGAGATACGATAAAATTTTAGGTTTATCCTTAAACCAGCCCCTTATAAAACAATTTTGGTTGTAGATAACGATTGAAATCAATTTTTTTACATTAAACGTATAAAAATGAAGAAATTTATCGACACCTAAAAGTCAATAATCATCCGTTAGTTAAACAAATTCCATTATTTATTCATGAGAAAACAATGTTTACAAAAGGACTGTGTTGCAAAATATAATTTAAATGGTACTGATTAGCATTTAATTAATTCAAACTTCCTTGAAACAGTTTAGTTGCAGAATTCGCAAACTGAAATGTCAATTAAAAGTTGATAAACTTAATTAAAAATTGTGTTGACTAATCGTTTTATCATAACTCAATATCTGAGTTTATTGATGATATTTTTTTTAATGAATTAATTAAACATAAATTTCATGAAATTTAAAAAATTCAAACTTTATTCGTTTGAAACGTAAAAATAATAATTTACAAACATTCAAGCCTTGTTTTCACCTTGAAAATGAAGTTAAAATAAAGTTTCCATGTGAGAGTCACAGCTAAATTCCGTAAATTATAACTATATTATTTAGCTTAATGCCCATACATCTGTAAATATGTAGTACCATGATGTATTAGTCAGAAGGATCTCTAAACTCCACTCCTCATTCAATTCAATCACAGAAATAATCAATTCGTGTATTTTTTTGTGCCTCCGTTGGAAAATTTTTCAACTCTAAAACTAGTTATTTGATTAGTTAACGATTCAATTGTTTAGAATCATTGAAATTTCATCGTCGTTTTAAGAAAATTTATCAATTCTTTTTTATTTTATACTACTTTGTACATTGTATCATAATATGATCTCTATAAATGCACAAAAGAGTGAAATTAATAAGAGTAAAGAAATAGTGAATGACAAAGTGTAAGGGAAAACATTGAGAGTCAAAACATTTAATTAATCCATTAAACTCAACTTTCTCATAGGTATGAATAAGTGACTGGAAACTGTAGATAAAGATTTTCTTTTCTCAAATTTTACATTTTTCCTCTGTTTCATATATTGTTTTGTGATCGTCGGCTTTTTTTTATCGAAAAGGAAGAGATTTATATATCGTGATTCGCCTCGAGGCATTCGAGTGTATAGATATACAGAGACAAGTTAAATATATATAACCGTTTGAAGGAAAAGGACTGATGTTGAGAGAAACATAAGATGAATTCATTCGACCATTGAATTTGCGCCCGAAGGAACACGTTTCATAGTCAATACTTTTTGAAAAATTATTTTTCTTTCTTTTACTTTCCCTTTGTACTCTACTCGTTAATGTATCACACAGAAATCTGGTTCTTTTGCGTCTGAGATATTTCAGTTGTTCCTTTAAATACTCTGTGGACAATATATTTCATTGTTATTTAAAATTGCAATTGTTTTTTAATTACGAAATTGACGAGTTGATTCTTTCGTTCAGTGAAATGAGGAGATGAGATAGGAGGATTAAACAATTACGTCACGTTTTTTTTCATTTTGGACCCATTCCATTGAGTAGCGATGATACAGGCCTTCGGCACGCTGTGATAATTACTTGTTGTTATCTGCATATCATTTCAATCTTCTTACAATTTTAACAGCTGACGTTAATGAGAGAGTTTATAACGAGAATATCAGTGGAGAGTCAAGGTAGACTCATTTAGAAAATTGGGACCCATAGAGATGAAATTGCTAATCAGCTTTTCATTAGGTAATCTTCTTTGTTTTGTACTTACCTGACTGAAAGAGCAGGGGAAAACCATCGAGACGATTCGATAATTTAATTTCAATTTTTTTCGTTACAAAATCAATAATTAATTTTCTCTTGTGTGATGTTTGTTGAACCCACAAGCTTTTGTAAAAATTCGCTGTGAATTTATGGGGATAATTATGGAATGAGGAAGATTAGAGACTTCAATGGAATGATAAAGGTCATGGGGAACAATGAGGCAAAATAACAAAGAAAAATTGAATCATAATTAATATAAATTTGTGGCACGTATTGATGCTCTCGCCTGTACCCTCCGCGATTGTCAATTGATTTTTTGAAAGTAATACTGTACTTTATACACATTTGAATAGTTGTTAATGAAATAATTGTCGGTGAGTTGAATGAGTCCTTTTGGAAGAAAAAGGCCAGAGTGGATTTTACGAAGAAAAGAATGTTTTTATCTACAAAATCTCGTAATATCTTGGAATATAATTCAAATGGGGGAAAAGAAAAATTATGAAATTTCATGATCTATCGTTAAGGAAATTTGATACAAGTGTAAGTGCGTGGATGAATTTGCCTGTTGAGAGATTAATTCGGGAGTTCAATTGGATAATTCGTTTGATTTGTGAAGTCAGTTGATTCATTTTTCTCTTCCCTTAATCTCATTGTGAATTCTGCTGAGAGCAGTTGACAATTGAAAGACTAAAACTGAAAGACAAGAGGGAAAATTGAGGAAAAATGGTAATAGTTCTGGGAGAGGAGAAGTTTCCAGTTGTTTTAATTGAATTCTCAGTGTTTGGAAGTGGTGCCAAAAACAAAGAGGTCTGCGAATTTAGGAGGGATTGGGAGGTAATGTGGTATTTTATTCACTTACATTTGAATTTTTGTTCAGCCAGCACAAGTGTTTAGTACTTAAACAATTGGAGGATGAGGTAAAGGGAGGAGTCTTGACTGATTACGGGTCTAAATATTACGCAACCGTTATATAACGGTAGAAAATATTATGCAATAATCTTAACAGACAAAATATTGAGGGCAGAATTATTATGAAATAAAATATTATTAACTCATTGAACGATGAACGTCTACAATCATCTACGTATGAGGAGAATCGGGGAATTAAGAGTCCGTCAGTGTATTAGTGAACTTTGAGGCATTCCGTACTATTTCAGTCTGTTTTTTTTTATTTCGATGAAAATTTAATATGATGTAGAATATGTGTTCCAAGCACGCCTTGAAATGTTATTAAAAAAGTTAAAAAATTGTTGTCATTGAAATTAAATTGATATTCGATAAATATCAATTTTATCAAAAAAGTACAAGTGAACTTTTTTTATTCAAAACATGTGTAAGTTTCGGGGAAAAATCCACAGAATTTTGTAATTTGTTTGTTTGTAATTTTCTCCCCGAAACTATCACCTGTTTTAAATAAAAAAAGTTGTCTTGCACTTTAATCAAATTCATTAATAATATTATCATCATTAATAATAATATTATTAGTAATATTCTTATAATGAAAAAACCCAATAATAATTATATCCGGTAACAATTTTGATCGTTATATTATTCACCGTAATATTTTGGTGTAGTATTTAGACCGAATACCGTCTTGACCAGGCACATAAGAATGAGATTCGAAGTGGGAGCTAGAATGTGTGATGCTAATGAACCGAAACACTAGTCTTTATTGCCTTTTTTGCAATGAATTTTGTTCAAAGTGGAATCAGGAGATAAAGGTAACTGTATTTACTCAATTTATTCTTTATTTTCATAAATCCATTCGGAATAATGAATTTTTTACGAATTTTTTCACTTATCTCCTCATGCCACGGAATGGCCAGAAATAATGTTGTTGAAGAATTATTGTTTTTACAATGAAGAAGACAAATTAGAGTGAATAATGAGGGTAAAAAGGACGTGGAGATCATGAGAATGAAATGAGGAAAAGAAAAAGTCTTTATTATCTGTTATTTGTTTCATCATTTTATGAATAGAGAGTGCGGGAACAGGGAGACAGGAAATTATTGTAATTATTTGTAAATAGTCAACGTTACGTGTGAATGAAACAGTCAGAATTTTTAGATGAATCCAGAGAAATCCTCTTAATGAAGGATAATCGCTGAAAATTATGTCCCGAATGATCATGAATGAATAACATTTAACCAGACATCGATTTTCATAGTCAAACAGCATAAAATGACGAACCAAAAAGATGCGGAAGAAACGTAGAAGAAAAAAATCCAAGTACTAAACAATTTTTCTTCCCAATTTGTCCACTAAAAAAATGCATGGTGAAATCACATTAAAGTCATTTTAAATAAAGCCTTGATGACGATAACTGAAAAATTAATAATTCAATTCAATAAATTTAATAAATAAAATTCCAATGTCGTTCACGCGCGAATCCAAGTAATCTTGTATCAATGAGAATAATAAAAATATATTTAAAGAATTCGCAGTAATGAGAGAAAATGAGAGGTGACTTTTTCAAATTTTTCTTACATTCTGATATTCAATGTTGACGTCATTAGATTTTAATAATTAAAAACGAGCATTCAATAATTCAAGCGATAATAATCTCGAATTTTTTTCATTGGCCAGAGCATGTTCTCTATAATAAAAACAAAAGATAAAAATGAAAATAATTAATTGAGAAATGAAACAAACGGACTTGCTGTATCGATGGAAATTTTTCGTGAAATTTCGGTAACGAATGGTAAATGGAAAAGTGTATATCCATCTCGATAATAGCTCTCTAATAATTATCCGTCTCTTTTCAATTCCCCCCTCCTCCACCCTTTATACAAGTGAAAAAACTAATACAAAAATACAAATTAAATGAATAAACAAGAAGATAAAAACGTTGTAAATAATATTCCTCTCACGCATTGTGTAATATAATAGTTTATACATTTATTAGACTAACTGTAACGCTCGAATTGGGGGAGAATGACGAGAAGCGAGTTTAAAAATGAATAATATTAAAGTACGACAATTGTAAATGCGCACAAATTACTGAGAAAATATTGAGAAAAATATGAGAGAAGTGATAGTGTCAAATGAGAGAATAATAATTGGGAAAAAGGTGAATAACCTTCATGTATATCTCATTAAAATCGATAGAGAAATAAAATGAAAATGGGTATGTGCAATGTGAATGGTCGTTCTACTGTGCCATGGATGAGAGAGAAACAGCACACTAAATGTTAAAGGGAAATAGAGTAAACTGAGAGCGATGAAAAATGAATAAATTGAATAATAAATTGAACAAAGACAAAAAATAGGACACCAGAATGGAAACTCTTTATCCGCTTTGTTTTCATCCAATTGTCATAATTTTTATCCTCTTTTTTTCTAAGAGAAGAAAAACAAATCGTTCTACCGCATAATGAAAAGTTTAATGAATAGTTAATCGGACATTTTTTAGAGTTTAAGGAGAAGTTAGAAGGGGAAGAGAATAAAAATCCAATGTTTTTTAGAAAATTTTGTAAATAATCAGGCTCTATTAAATTGTCGTTAAATATCAAAAGAACTATTTATTTATTCATTCTTTGGAACCTGATCCCTTCCCGAGGGTTTTAATGATTAAGCTCTAGGTATTCAGCAGTGAAAGTCATGTGATTACCCTAATTACATTAATAATTATCTCAATATTTTGTGTTCGTTCGATTAAGATGCCCTTTTGATCCTCTTGTATCGTGCCAAGGCAGCCCTGGGCTCGTTGGGAAGACCTCCGAAGGCCTCTTGGTACTCTGGAGCGAGCTGTGAGCCCAAATCCTGAGCATTGGCAAGGTCTATCATGGAGTTTGGATCAGCCACGGAGTCCGCCTGCACCTCGTCCAGAGGCTCGTCAGCAGCCCTCTCCCATCTTCCCTTGACTTCACCTCCACCCAGGCCTCCACTCTGCCTCTGAATAATCAATCCATCAAACGAGATAATATCGCGTGCTAAATGGAACAAGTGGCCCATTGCACAGGTCTAAATCAAGTATAGTTTTTCTGCCAAAAAATTGCAATTTGCTTCCGAATGGATTAATTGAAACAAAAAAGTGCAAATACGATTTTCTGTCATTAATTTCGAATTAGTAGGAATCCTTCCTGAAATTTAACCTCAGGCAAATTCAATAGTTTTTTTTAAAGACAATTTGAGATAAAATTTGTTATTGAGCTGAATTTATTTTATTTTGGAGTCACGACGTTGGAATAAAAAACCAATAAAACAACTTATGAAAGTCCCCCCCTCAATGATTAATTCTTCAAATCCCCAGGCTTACCCAATCCCTCATCCCGGCTTTATAAATGATTAACTTGAAATATTACCCGATGCTTGTGTCTGGGTCTCCCCCCTCGCTTCCTCTTGTAAGACCCCAGCCGTCTCCCCCGGGAATTCATCTCCCTCCGCTGTCTCGAGTACAATCGCCCAGGAAACAAAAAACTTTCACGTCCATCCTCAATCCCGCTAAACTTGGAATGCTTTAATCTTCGTTTACCCTCACTCAATCCCTTGGACCTACGAACAAATCGATTCGCCTGGCTCTAACGTCGTATCGTCTCCAAGAATAATCAGGTAAATGTTCCAGTAGCTCGTCTCATCTCAACATCGATCATCACTAGAGATGTGGAATGATCGTCATTTTCTCTTTCGGTCAGGTCAGGGGTGAATGACCGGTTTCTGACCTTGACCGAATTTTGTATGCAAAATGACCGTCACAGTTACGTCACTGCGTCAGACACGAGCTAAAATGATCAGAAATACACAGCAAAAACGAGTGTTCAAAAACGAATTTCACACACCTTTTTTAAACATTTTTCGGAGATTAAAAAATGTTTGAATAAAATGAAAATTTGTCTGAGTTTCAAACGAACAGGTGCCTAAATATCTTAATTCATGTTTGAAATTCAAATAAATTTTCATGTCATTCAGACGTTTTTTAGTGTCTGAAAAATTTCTACAAAAGGTGTATGAAATTCAGATATTCGTTTTTGCTGTGTATAATTGCAGATTAACCGTCATTTTTATATCGGTCGTTTTTTGAGTCATTTTTTTTAACATTCGATCGGAAAATTTTTCAATAGAATTGAATTTAGCTGTATAAATCGATAAGTTTTGACGCTGAATAAAAAAAAAATAGAATAGAATTATTATCATTTATTATCCTGAATAAACCGATAATGACGGTGGTCAATGACGGTCATTTTTGTCACTCACATCTCTAATTATTCCCCAACTTTTTCATTTTTCAGAGTGTTGAGATATCCAATATCCAACTGTCGGATAAAATCTGCATCTGGAACATTTACCTTCATCATTTTACCTCTGACTTCTCAATCTCCAGATCTGAATCGATTCCACTGTCACCGTGGCTGATGTACTTCGGCGCTGGTATCACAGATTTCCGGAACTTTCGAGTTTTGGGATTCCCCTTTCTTCTTAATTTGATCTCCTCTTCAATCTCGTTGTTATCGTCGAGATCATCATACGCAGCTGCTGATCTCTTCCGAATGCTCACATGGGGGCTGTCAGCTTCCTCAGCGACGTCTGCGTCATCCTGATCAATCCCAGTAAGGTGATTATGGAGTAGTCAGGGAAGGTCGAAAAAAAGTCAAGAAATTGATGACTTGTTTTCATACATTCTTTACTTTTTTCAAAATCCTTGTGGAAAATCCCACATAGCCTAAGAGAATAGGTGAAACACAGAAATTTTTCTTAAAAATGCATATTAACGCGAGCTCTTATGGGAATTTGGAATAAAAAATATTAACCCTTAAGCGGACGCAGCTCTTCACCGAGCGTAGTTGGTCGTACGTTAAGGGAATCCCCGCGCCGTGTCTTTTACAATTTCGAGAAAAAGTTGAACAAAAAAAATTTCTTCCACGTTCACAAGTAATTTTGAACTTTCAATGAATAGGAAATGGTGGTATGGAATCGAAATAATTGTCAGATAGTCCAAAAACTCGATTTGAAAAAGTACAAAATTATGAAATTTTGAGGTTAAACATGGAGATTTCCAGCAAGTCGAGTTTTCAGAAGATTTTAATAATTCATTGGTGTAAGTCTAGACCGAAGAAAGATGTTGATGTGTTCCATATGGTTGAAAGTAGAAATATAAATTTTTATGGATTTTTCATTCACGAATTTTTTGCGAAGTTTTCCTTTTTGGCAGAAGCCATGTGACATTTACTTTTTTTCTACCAATTCCATTGGTAATAAGCTTCCGAATGGATCCGTACAATTTGGCAGATGATAACTACTCAAAAAGCTATTCATATTGGTAAGGGGAATAAACCACACCGACCTCTGATTCTGTCAGAGCTATACAATTTCATCCTGTAATGTCATAAGAGCTACAATCCTATCAAATTTCAACTTCCTACCTTGAATTTTCAGTTATCGTTTCCACAACGATTTCCTAGTAAAAATGAAAAATGCCGATTTCCAACACAAAAATGGTCGACATAGATTGAAAATTTGTAATTGAAATATCTTTTTTCTTGTTCAGCGATTGGTTTTCTGCGAGAGAACACTAGATTCCCCTCCGTCTCACCTCCTACATGCCCGCCCGCCATAAATACCTTAACGCTATCAGACTCCTCAGGGAGATCCTCCTCCAGTCGTTTCTCCCTCTCACTGTCATTCACCTCGTCCTCCACCTTCTCCTCCAATCTCATTAATTCATCATACTTGGCGTTATTCGCCTCGATCTCTTTAACCTTTGAATTTTCCTCGCTCTCCCGTTTGACCTTCTCCTTCACAGCTTCAATTCTCCTCTGCAGTTGATCTTCAAGTTCCTTCGAATCAACTTTATCCTTGCTTTCAGCTTCGCTTTCATTCTCAGAGAGAGACACTTCTCTTCTGACTTCTTTCTGAAGCTCGATTTTACTTTGTGATGGTGCGGCGTCTATTCCAGATTTTTCAAATCTGTCAGTACTTCCAGAAGTGTCTTTCGGCGACTCTCGACCGATTTCGAAAGTGTCCACTTCAATTTTCAGGAGACGCGGGTGAGACGAAATGTTCGGAGTAATTATTTGACGTTTCTTCGAGTCTCTCTCTATCTGTGAAGTGTCTCTCGAGGATTTCGATCGCTTCTTCAAGCTTCTAATCTCATTCTCCACCTTCTTCTCTACTCTTTCAAGCTGGGACTTCGCTAGCTCCAAATTTACTTTCTTTCGGAGGGCCTCTTGGAGGCTTTTATCTCGCTTCACACGAGACTTTTTTGGGACTGTATTTTTCACATTGATCTCTTCGACCTGTTGCCTATTTGTTTCTTCTCCGTTGATCATGGCTGCACGCTTGTCCAAGCTGTGGTCATCAAAGTCATTATCAGCGTCCGGAGATCCTCGGTTGTGTCTGCCTATACTTTGGAAGTTCTCGGAGTCCTCGTCGTCTAGATCGTCCTCATAATCTGATATTGTTTCTAAATTTTTTGCTAGGCGTTTCCGAATGCTCAGGGGAAGGTCCTCGTATTTTATTAGTCGTTTTTTACGGAGTATTATGGTGTCTGAGGGGCTGGGATTATTGTCGGATTCTTGGGGAGTTTCTTTCGACCTCGAACGATAACGAAAAGTCAATTTTTAGTTGGAGGAGAGTTCGAGGGGGAATACGTATGGAAAAATTCAAAGGAACACCTACCGCATTCGCTAAGAAATCGTATTGTTTTTTTTATAAGAATATGATTTTTGTTGAAATTCTAGGGAAATTCTGTGAAGAATGTTTTTTTAACAGATTTTATGGAAATTATGTAATATTGCTGGGTCTTTTTTAAATATGTACATTAGATAGGAAAAAGTCAGTAGATGATGATTCTTTTGTTTTCCACTTTTCTTTTCAAGGTTCTTTAAAACCTAGGCAACACATACGAAAAAAATTAATAGAAAATCGTAGCGAATTCGCTAGATAATTTTATCGGATTTCTATTGAACTTTCTTTTCGTTTTTGGCCGATTCTATTGCAATGATCAATAGAAAATATTCTAGGGAAAAAGTCAATAAAATTCAATTTTTCTACGCAACTTACTCTAATGAGATATTTTCTATAGAATTTGCTCGACTCAGATTTTCTAAGTTTTTGTCATTCTATTTTTCTTTTCTTTTCATCACGAAAATGAAACAAAAAGACTTGGAAAATTTGAGCCGAGGGAATTCTACAGAAATATCTCAAGTTGTATTGGAAAATCGAAATCCACTGACTTTCCCTACAGAATATTTTGTATTGAATATTTCAATACAATCGGCCAAAAACTAATAGAAACTTCAACAGAAATCCAATAGAATTGTCTAGAAAATTCACTAGGTTTTTCTATTTTTTTTCGTGCGTAATATGTGGGAACACGTGGTTCTCGGTAAAAATATCAGGAGACATTTTCGTAGCTGAAAAAAATGAATATATAAAAAATATATCAACACTTCTTTCCTTTTTAATGTATTTGATTAATTTTTTTCGTGCGCGATATGTGAAAACAAGTAGTTCTCGGTAAAAATATCACGAGATATTTTCGTAGCTGAACAAATTTTCAATAAGTACTGTCCCTCCCTATTTCTCCTTGAAATCACTCCGATGTAATGAAATATTCACTCTGACGTCAAATCGAAATGTTACATTTTCCCTATTATTCATTCAACATAATATCATTTTTAAAATTTTGAATTTATCTAAAAAACAAGTAGGTTTACGGACAAATATTGAAGGACATGATGGCAAAATTACTGAAATGTTCAAAATCAACTTGTTACATTTCCCAAATTCACCGACTTGTCACCACTTCACCGGATAATTAATTCTAATTACCTGGAATCTGCGCCAGTGCTGCAATCAACGATAGTGCCTACAGTAATCGCAATGAGAATAAATGACCCCAGAGAAATTCCGAGTCTTCTCATCGTGTCGACATCATCAGAAAGTATTTCATTTTTTCATTAATGATTTTATCAAATTTACGGGAAATTGACAGGTAAAATGATTTCCATATTTTGTGGATTAAAAATCAGGTTAAAACAACAGAAAATCACATCGAAAAGTTATTTTCTTCTTGAACAGAACAGACTTCAAGATCCTCACTCAACAATAACGCAGGCACTGTGTTACAGAAAATAAAATTTATTATTTCTTCAATAGCATCTCATTGTTTAAAATACTAACTACAAATTTTAGTTTCTAATAAGCTCGATGATTTCACAAGGACTTGAACCATTTTTGTACATTTCGCCTCTTCAATACGTATAATAAGCCAGTATACATATTCGAGGATTGAGAATTCTCCTCCCAAGTGTCTTTCGATATCCTTGCATTAACGATTGGATGACTTAAACATTCAGCACAGCCAATTTTAAAAAGGTCAACGTGGACGGAGAGATATTCACCTGCATGTGAACAGTCCCATGACCTTTCGTCACACCTGGATCTCACTCAATTATTCCGATGAATTGAACACCAATTGAAAAATCGGAAAAAGTGAGGCGCGGCGCTCATAGCGCGACCAACGGAGAGTTAAATTCAACTCAACTTTATGATTTTCAGACAACAAAGCTGTATCGCCTTTTGCACTGAAAAAGTAAAAAATGTAATTTCACCGCAGGGACTTTTTCACTTGCATATCTTTAAACTATAACTCTATTGATATTTTCGTGCTTCTATACTACCCCAGGCAGTTTAATACTGTTAATGATTTATTTACACACATCCATCATGATTGAACAATGTTTTCAACTCCAAATAAACGATAAATAAACGTGAAAAAGGAAAGCCGAGGAAACTGAGTGGATGGAGAAAATAAACAGAAAACAAAACAAAAATCGTCGACAAAAAAAACTTTATTCAAAGAAAAATGATGATAGGTATAAATGGGAATAACCATAAGCTCTTAAATATTTTGAGAAAGAAAAAATAAACGATTGGATTAACGAAAAATAAATATGTCATGTTGACAAAATCGAAAAAAAATCGCAAGCTGAATAAAATGATTATTGCAATTAGAAAAGAAAAGATAATGAAAAATAATAATTATAATAAAAAATCATATAACTTGTTAGTGTCGATCGACTGTCTCAGAACTCATAATAAAGGATATTCCTATGATAACAATAATCATAAAAGCAACGATATAAACCGTAAATTCTGGCAGAACCCCTTGATAAAAATCCTATCAAGCAAAGCTCAACCTATCACCCTTTTATCATCAAATTTAAGCATCGAAAACTGCAATGAATTGCACATTAACCCTCAGCATTCTAACATTTTCATTTCGCAAGTATAAAAGAAATTATGGCATCAATATAAAAGAGAAAAAACGTAATCATACGTTCTTGGCTACCACGTAGTTGAGACCAGTCTCAAAAAATCAAAAAATATAGAATCAAATTTTACGTCACATTCCTGATGGACTCTTTTCTTTTAGAGACAAATTCAGCGAGACGAAACTGACGCAATTTTATCTTCAAAAATCTTGTAAATTACAGGAAAAAATTGGAAAAAATAACGAAGAGTTGAACCCTAATAAATCAACTTCGAATGTGTTCATTTCCAGGAGATGATTTTGTAGCTGAAGTAATGGAAAAATAAACAGCCCTCTAATTAGAAACGAGTGGCATATAAAACTTATGTTTGGGGGTGTCCCTAGTGTGCTTGAAAGGCGCCTTTTTAGTCTCCAGTAGAGCAGCAGGACAGGGTCCCTTGACCCTGGGCACAAACTCCCTCTTATACATGCTGGAATTCACGTGCGAGGCTTCCCCAAGGCTGATGTGCGACTCGTTCGTGGACCTGTGCACCCTCTCGACCCTCTGCCCCGAGAAATTCCCATAAGTCGACTTGGCCTCGCTATTAGAGTAGAATTTCCCTCCAACAGTTAAATTATCCTTCCTCACGATCCTCTGAGGGCGTTCGTAACTCGAAGATGCGTAGGGATTGCCATCCTTCGAGCTTCGGTGAAGAGAAGTCAAGCTCTTTCTGTCCGAGCTCTGCGACGAGTTGCTGATGTACTGTCCAGACTCAGCAAGATTGGAAATGCTCTTCTTCTGATCAGCAGCTGTGGACGAGCTCGTGTGAAGAGCTTCAGTCGACGACACGACTCCCTTTCTATGGAGAACCGAGTTGCTGACATCAGTGGACGACGAAGAGATGATGTTCTTTCTGTGGTGCGTGGACTTCCCAGAGTCGATGATCACACGCTCTGTGGACTGAGCCCCAGCCAATGCCTGTCGGAATTCCGAGCTTGTTTGCCCATTGGAGCTGTACTTCGCCTGACTCGACTTCGTGTGCTGTTGGGACAAGTGTCTACTATTCACGTGGGCCTCTGAATGCTGAGTGTTGACGTAGTCCCGCCTGGAAGACGACTGCTGAGACTTCTCAGCCCTCTGGGTCTGGATTTCCTGAGAGGAGAGATGTCTCTCCGAGTGTCTCACATCGTCGCGGACCACCTGGTGCTCGGGAATCGATGGAATTGACCTCCTCGGAGAGACTGATCTCCTCTCAGCCTCAGTGACTTGAGACTGACCGCTGTGATGAGCAGATTGCGACGACGACGACACCCTTTGACCAGTGGCAGACGTCATCCTCGTCGTCATCACGACACTTCCGTCATCCAAAGTCTTGATATCAGACTCGACGTTTTTCCTATTCTCGATGTCACGAGTCTGGGAGACCCTGGCAGCCACGTCCTTCCCAGTTCTCTTCGTGTAAGTGTTGTAATTCTTCTGATTGGTGGTCATCATGGTGCTGCTGTCGTCCCCAAGTGAGATCGTGGACTCCATGTGCCTGCGCCTGTTGACAGGCCCCGCAGGACTCACATCCTTCTTCGTGGGGGAGAACGAGTCGGAGCTGGTGGTCCTACACTCCATACTTCCGGAGTTGACCCTGAGGTTGTCCTCGTGCCTCTTAATCTCCGCCCTCTCGCCCCTGACGACCTTGTAAGTGGACTTCTGGGAGGTCGTCCCATGAAAGTCACCAGTCATCTTGAGGTTGTCCTCTCTTCTGACGACTTCAGTTCTCTCAGATCGCTTGGGGAGATAGTCGTCCCTGGGGTGGGCGACGAAGTCACCCTCTGGCTTCAGATTGTCATCGGGCTTGATCGGCGATCGTCTCTCCCCAGGACCGGCCTGCGACACCTTAGTGTAGTCATCCCTCCGACGATGATCCACAAACTCCCCCTCAATCCTCAGATTATCCTCGTGTCTCCTGATGTCCGTCCTCTCGACCCTCGTAATCTTCTTGTAATCGTCCCTCGACCGATGAATATTCATCTCCCCCTCCATGTGGAGATTGTCCTCGTGTCTCTTAATATCCACTCGATCTCCATTCGTCACACGAACGTAGTCCTCTCGACTCGTTGGGCTGACTTGCATCTCTCCTTCAGGTCTGAGGTTGTCCTGGGGCTTCTTAACGGGAGCTCGATCCCCTCGTTTGGGTGTGTAGTCATCGCGTGGGGTGAAGTCATAGTCCCCTTCTGGGTGGAGATTGTCCTCGTGTCGAATTGGAGTCCTGCGTTCGGCTGGACCCACTTTCGTCGGACTTCGCTTCTCGAAGTCGCCCTCTGGCTTGAGATTATCCTTCGGCCTCTTCGGGGAGGCGCGCTCTGCAGGCTGATACCCGGGCTTCTGAGGGGTTTGGAAGTCACCCTCAGGCTTCAGGTTGTCGGGGTGACGTATTGGGGTTCTTCGCTCGCCTGGGCCGTACCTGTCGGGAGTGGGACGCTCGAAGTCACCTTCGGGTTTGAGATTGTCCTTCGGTTTCTTCACGTCCGCACGATCTCCGCGTCTTGGAGCCTCGGGTTTCGGTCTTCTGGCGAAGTCTCCTTCGGTTTTCAGGTTGTCAGGGTGCTTTATCGGGGATCTGCGCTCGCCAGGACCGATTGGCTTGCAGGTGGGACGGTCGAAGTCTCCTTCAGGCTTGAGATTGTCTTTGGGCTTCTTCTGGATGGGCCTCTCTGCAGGACGATAGCCCTCATGCTCAGGACGCTCGAAGTCACCCTCGGGTTTGAGATTGTCTGGGTGTCTAATGGGCTGTCTTCTCTCTGCTGGCCCAGTCGGGGATTTCGTTGGTCTCTCGAAGTCACCCTCCGGTCTCAGGTTGTCCTCGTGACGAACTATCTCTGTACGTTCGCCCCGAGTCACGTGGTAATCGTCTCTGCGGTGGATGTCAGTGAACTCGCCTTCGATCTTCAAGTTATCTTCTCTTCTGACGACGTCGACACGTTCAATTCTCCTCGTCGTTGTGTAATCGTCCCGGGACCTGTGGATGTCGATTTCACCCTCCATCTTCAAGTTGTCTTTGTGAACAACAATCTCAGAGCGCTCTCCTCTCGTTGGTTTGAAGTCGTCCCTGGGGCGACCCTCGAAGGGACCTTCAGGCTTCAAGTTGTCCTTGGGTTTCTTCTGCACTGGACGCTCCGCTCGTTTCGGTGAGAAGTCATCCTTTGGACGACCCACGAAGTCACCCTCAGGATGAAGATTGTCTTCGTGCTTTATTGGACTTCGTCGCTCACCAGGTTTGACCGGCGTTTTAACAGGTCTGTCAAAGTCCCCTTCAGGTTTAAGATTGTCTTTAGGCTTCTTCTGGATGGGTCTCTCTGCAGGGCGGTAGCCCTCATGCTCAGGACGTTCGAAGTCACCTTCAGGCTTCAGATTATCCGCATGTTTAATAGGAGATCTGCGTTCTCCAGGGCCAACCGGCTTCTTCTCAGGTCTCTCAAAGTCCCCTTCAGGTTTAAGATTATCTTTAGGCTTCTTCTGGATGGGTCTCTCTGCAGGGCGGTAGCCCTCATGCTCAGGACGTTCGAAGTCACCTTCAGGCTTCAGATTATCCGCATGTTTAATAGGAGATCTGCGTTCTCCAGGGCCAACCGGCTTCTTCTCAGGTCTCTCAAAGTCCCCTTCAGGTTTCAGATTGTCCTGGGGCTTCTTGATATCAACCCTATCTCCCTTCTTCGGGGCCTCCTCCTTCGGTCGCCTCACGAACTCGCCCTCAGGCTTCAGATGATCAGGATGTTTAATCGGGGTTCTGCGCTCCGCTGGTCCCACCGGCTTGCACACAGGCCTCTCAAACTCACCCTCTGGCTTCAAGTTGTCCGGGTGTCGAATGATGTCGACTCTCTCACCCCGAACGACCTTGTAATCATCCCGAGTTCTCATGTCGATGAACTCACCCTCCATTCGGAGATTGTCTTGGTACCTGGTGACCTCGACACGCTCGCGCTCCACGAAATCTACGTAATCATCCCGCGAACGCCAGACTTCAATGTCACCTTCAGGTGCCAAGTTGTCTTGTGGCTTCTTCTGAATCGGTCGCTCTGCTGGACGATAGCCCTCGTGCTCAGGACGCTCGAAGTCTCCTTCAGGTTTGAGATTATCCGCGTGTTTGATGGGAGACCTGCGTTCTCCAGGACCCACTGGCTTCTTCACGGGTCTTTCGAACTCCCCTTCAGGTTTGAGATTGTCTTTAGGCTTCTTTTGAATGGGTCTCTCTGCTGGACGATAGCTCTCGTGTTCAGGTCTCTCAAAATCACCTTCAGGCTTGAGATTATCTGCATGTTTAATAGGAGACCTGCGTTCTCCAGGACCCACTGGCTTCTTCACGGGTCTTTCAAAGTCTCCTTCAGGTTTGAGATTGTCTTTAGGCTTCTTTTGAATGGGTCTCTCTGCTGGACGATAGCTCTCGTGTTCAGGCCTCTCAAAATCACCTTCAGGTTTAAGATTATCTGGATGTTTAATTGGAGATCTTCTTTCAGCTGGTTTGAAGGGCTTCTGCTCCCTGTCTGGGAAATCTCCCTCGGGGAATAGATTATCTGGATGACGAACGATTGGAGCTCTTTCACCGGGACCATAAGGAATTTCCTGAGGTCTCTCAAAATCACCTTCAGGTTTGAGATTGTCTGGATGTCTAATAGGAGTTCTTCTCTCTGCAGGCTTAACTGGTGTCTTACTAGGTCTCTCAAAATCTCCTTCAGGTTTCAAATTATCCTGCGGTTTCTTCGGAGTAGGTCTCTCAGCAGGACGGTATTGTTCATGTTCAGGCCTCTCGAAGTCGCCTTCAGGTTTGAGATTATCCGGATGTCTAATTGGTGTTCGCTTCTCAGCAGGTTTAACAGGTGTGTGCACCGGGCGTTCAAAGTCCCCTTCGGGTTTGAGATTATCTTGGGGTTTCTTGACATCAGCACGATCCCCCCTCTTCGGAGCCTCTTCCTTAGGTCGTTTCACGAAGTCTCCTTCGGGTTTGAGGTTGTCTGCATGTTTTATCGGAGTCCGGCGCTCTGATGGACCCATCGGTTTCTTCTCAGGTCTCTCAAACTCACCCTCAGGCTTCAAGTTATCCTCTGGCCTCTTGATTTCCGGCCGCTCAGCCCTCTTAGGGGTGTAATCATCCTTCGGACGACCCTCGAAGGGCCCTTCCGGTTTTAAATTGTCTGCATGACGAACGATATCAACTCGTTCACCTCGAACAACCTTGAAATCGTCCCTCGTTCTGCTGTCGGTGAATTCACCCTCCATCCGGAGGTTATCCAGGAACTTGGTGACCTCCACACGTTCACGAATTTTATAATCAATGAAATCATCACGAGAACGCCAGATTTCAATGTCACCCTCAGACACCAGATTGTCTTGTGGCCTCTTCTGGATTGGGCGGTCAGCAGGACGGAATTTATCATGTTCAGGTCTCTCGAAATCACCTTCAGGCTTGAGATTATCTGGATGTTTAATCGGAGATCTTCTTTCAGCTGGTTTGAAGGGCTTTTGCTCCCTCTCTGGGAAATCTCCTTCGGGGAATAAATTATCTGGATGACGAACGATTGGAGCTCTTTCTCCAGGACCATATGGAATTCCTTCAGGTCTCTCAAATTCACCTTCAGGTTTGAGATTATCTGGATGTCTAATAGGAGTTCTTCTCTCTCCAGGCTTATTTGGCGTCTTAACAGGTCTTTCGAAGTCTCCTTCAGGTGTGAGATTGTCTTTAGGCTTCTTTTGAACGGGTCTTTCTGCTGGACGATAGCTCTCGTGTTCAGGCCGCTCAAAATCACCTTCAGGCTTGAGATTATCTGGATGTTTAATCGGAGATCTTCTTTCAGCTGGTTTGAAGGGCTTCTGCTCCCTCTCTGGGAAATCTCCCTCGGGGAATAAATTATCTGGATGACGAACGATTGGAGCTCTTTCACCAGGACCATAAGGAATTTCCTCAGGTCTCTCGAAATCACCTTCAGGCTTGAGATTATCTGCGTGTTTAATAGGAGACCTGCGTTCTCCAGGACCCACTGGCTTCTTCACAGGTCTTTCAAAGTCTCCTTCAGGTTTGAGATTGTCTTTAGGCTTCTTTTGAACGGGTCTTTCTGCTGGACGATAGCTCTCGTGTTCAGGCCGCTCAAAATCACCTTCAGGCTTGAGATTATCTGGATGTTTAATCGGAGATCTTCTTTCAGCTGGTTTGAAGGGCTTCTGCTCCCTCTCTGGGAAATCTCCCTCGGGGAATAGATTATCTGGATGACGAACGATTGGAGCTCTTTCACCAGGACCATAAGGAGTTTCCTCAGGTCTCTCAAAATCACCTTCAGGTTTGAGATTGTCTTTAGGCTTCTTTTGAACGGGTCTTTCTGCTGGACGATAGCTCTCATGTTCAGGTCTCTCAAAATCACCTTCAGGCTTGAGATTATCTGGATGTTTAATCGGTGATCTTCTTTCAGCTGGTTTGAAGGGCTTTTGCTCCCTCTCTGGGAAATCTCCCTCGGGGAATAGATTATCTGGATGACGAACGATTGGAGCTCTTTCACCAGGACCATAAGGAGTTTCCTCAGGTCTCTCAAAATCACCTTCAGGTTTGAGATTATCTGGATGTCTAATAGGAGTTCTTCTCTCTCCAGGCTTAATTGGCGTCTTAACAGGTCTTTCGAAATCTCCCTCAGGCTTCAAATTGTCCTGTGGCTTCTTCGGAGTTGGTCTCTCAGCAGGACGGAACTTCTCATGTTCAGGTCTCTCGAAATCTCCTTCAGGCTTGAGATTATCTGGATGTTTAATCGGAGTTCTTTTCTCGGCAGGTTTGAAAGGCTTTCTTTCTCGGTCTGTGAAGTCCCCCTCGGGCTTCAAATTATCCTCAGGGCGTTTCACCTCAGGTCTCTCCCCCCGTTTAGGAGTAAAATCATCCTTAGGGCGGCCCTCGAAGGGCCCCTCCGGTTTCAAATTATCCTTCGGCTTCTTAACTTCAGGTCTGTCCCCTCGTTTAGGAGTGAAGTCATCCTTAGGACGCCCTTCGAACGGTCCTTCAGGCTTCAAATTGTCGATGGGACGAATCGGCTGTGGACGGTCTACTCGTCCAGGGGTGTAATCATCCTTGGGGCGACCCTCGAACGGCCCCTCAGGTCGCAGATTATCCTCTCTCCTCAGAATAACAGTTGTTCTGTAATCTGTCTCGTCGAAGGCTCTGTATTCCTCGTGATTTGTCGTTGTGTTTACGACGTCTATCTGACTCCAGAAACGATCGGTTTTGTCCACAGATGGGCAGCGTTGAGTGGGACGATCTATTTCCAATGCGTCGTAAGTGTGGAAGTCCTCTTTTGTGTGAGAGGTTCCCTGTAATCATAATAACGGGAGCAATTTATAGAGATGCAAATGCGTCACATGACCCGTCATGTCGCATGTCGCTAATTTTTTTCATACATTATCATAAATAAACAGTGATGATTTCCAAGTACAGTGGATAAAATTCGTTGAATACAAAATAAAGTTTAATATAGCATAAAGACAGATCAAAACAATGAAGAGAGATTCACTTGATATTTTCTGGCTATTAAATCAGACCAAGAAGGTCACAGTTCTCATCAAATCACAATTACAATAAAATAATGTACTATTATTATTTTTATTTTGTTTTTTCTTGTTTTTGTCAGCTCGGAAATCCCGTAACACTAATTTTTTGATTATGATTAATTATGTGCAGCGCAATTACCGTAAATTCACCCTCTCCCACAGTGAGATTATCCACTCTACGGATGATTTCAGCACGCTCGACTGTTCGATGATCGATGAACTCAGTGCGTGTTGTTGTTTCATCTGTGAAATCACCCTCGGGCTTGGTGTAGGTATTGCGACGTACCGGGCTTGGACGATCACCAGGTTTTCCGGTGAAGACAAGCTCCGTTGTTGTCACACCTAAAAATCAAGGAAAATGCAATCAAAACATTGATAACGTCCTCCAATCTCTCCAAGGATGTTCATCTGTTTTCCAAAAATCAAATTTCTTTATGATCCTGAAAATTCAGTTGCAACCGCATAGACAAAACGGACTAAACAATTTTGGAAATTATAAAATTAAGCCGATATGAAAAAATATTCTGAATTTGAACAAGAAAAATCTGGTGAACCCGGACGAATAATGGAGACAGTGTAAAAATTCAAACTTAGATAATCCCATGCTAACGCATTCTTTTGGCGCATATTGTCTATTTTTTAGTGAATTTTTATCGATCTGAAAGCGATAACTCTACACGCCTGGAAGAATTTAATACAAAAACATTTCACTAGGAAATTCTATTGGAATTCTGTAGACACCTGTAAGTACAAATTTGCAGAATCATTTTCAGATGAATTTTGTTCTTGTCCCAATTTCAAAATTCAAGAATAATAAAAATGGAAAAAATTAATGAATTCCTATGGAAAAATAAAAATTTACTGACTTGGACTAGGATTTTATTACAATTCTGCTGCCCCTCCATTGGAGTTATAGGGAAATCTTATGGGAAATTCTATAATTTCTTTATAGTTCCAATAGAATATAGTTGTAATGGAATTCAAATAGGAAGCCAATCGAATTTTGTAGCGGTTGCGTTAGGTTTTTTATTGAATTTTATCAGAAATACGTCTATCCGTAGAAAAGACTCAGAATTTCAAGAGTGCTGACACGCTTGAATAAACATCCTTTTAATGCACAAAAACAATTATTTACTGTCAAAATCGCCTTCAGGTCTCAGATTATCCTGAGGTTTCCTAACCGGTGCTCGTTCCCCTCGTGTCACTACATAATCAGTCCTTCTTTCCCCAGTGAAGTCACCCTCAATGTGAAGATGATCCTCATGGTGGAATTTCACCTGGCGATCCACGTGTTTCTCGTTATATTCTTGACGGTAAGACGTGACCCCGTCAATGGGCTCGTGAGGAATGTCCAGGTGGTCCTCCGGTGCATTATGAGGACATCGATGACGTCTAGAATAATATATTTCGTCATTGGACGAACAATATTCATTGTCATGACGCTGCCTTACGGCCGGAATGACGAAAAATTACATAACAACTCTTATTAACAAGATGTTTGTTCCTTCATGTTGAAATCATCATCTCAATCAGTTAAGAAAACTAGAATGTTGGAAAATTCTCAAAATTTCGGGAAATCTTTGGAAACAAGTGGGGAATCTCTTTCGTACAACATAGTGAATATATTTTTGCTCATAAATTAACAATTTGCTTCCAAATGGAATTTCTATGATGATGTATTTTCAATTGAATTCAATGAATCATTAAATTCAACATTGCCCTAACGTTGACGTTAGGGCAATGTTGAATTTAAAAGAACCACAGTGATTCTAAAAGAACCACAGTGGAATTTTTATAGAATTCCAATGAAAATTCAGTACAATTTGTCAGCAATAGCGCTCGTTTGTCCTATTCAACTTTTTCATAAGTGACAATACGAATTCAGTTTAAAGCTGACATCGATTGGAAAAAAATAAGAAAGTAGAAAACGTAGAACCTGTCAGACCCAAATCCATCAATCGAGTGCACGTCCCAAAGTCCGCCACGAAAGGCATCACCGTTTTCCCTCATTTCTGATCACCTCTAGCGACTTCATTGGTATTCGACAGGAGGGATTCGTTAAAACTCTTGCGAAAATCATTCTCTCCTTTCTGAGACCCGTATTCCTATTTTCATCAAATTTCCAATGTTTCATGCTAAATCGACTACATCAACTCATGACTCGTTAAAGCTTCCAATGCAATTATCCCCTAAATTTTCAGTTTCAAGATAAAAATAATTGCGGGGAAATGATGTGAGTGGTCGAGTGAATGAAGGAAAGTGAAACTTTTCGCTGAAAGTAACATGATTCGGTCCCATTGATGGATTACGTCGCGTATGGCAGTTACCGTGTAGGTAGCATTGAGCAAAAAACCAGTGAATCGAATAAGGAAGAGGCCGAGCCGAGGCTGTAGACGGTTCGATTGCCGTGAGGAATCGTCATACCGTAAAAGGTACTGTCTCGTGTCCCATATGCGTCATTTATACGTGTACCAGTGAGGTAGATGTGTACCTTTGATCTGCCCGGACTTATTGAGGCCGTTTACAACACGCGAAGTAATGTAAATGTTTAAGAGTTAAAATAAAAACACGAGTTGAGATCGAAGTGAGCCTTGATCGCATCGATATCGCTCGTTCTGTATTCATTAGTCTTCATTGATTCAGTAGTAAATGGATTCATCCATTTGCAGCAGAACAAGTTGATCTTTCGATTGAATTCCGTTCACATCGAGTCATTTTAGAAGAAAATGACAGAAAATATTTTTTATTGGAAATTTATCGAGCTACAAAAAAAGTTTTATGATATTTTCAGAACGACAGAATAAGAATTTTTAATGAGAAAACTTAATAAGTTGTCTACAAACGTCAACATCTATTAAATTTGGAAGAATTATGCAATTTTTGAGAGAAATGAGGGAAAATCTAAGAGAACTTTTAACATAATTTTCTAGCGAATGCGTTAATTTTCCTATTTAATTTTTTCATACCTGAAGACATATCAATAGGCTTCGAAAATAATTCCGTTTATTCTGCCTCTTCAATTATCTCAACAATTAATTATTCAGGTAAAAACGTCAAGAAATATTTTCGTTGGAAAATTTCTCAGCTACAAAAAAAGAATTCTGTAATTGTTCGAGAAAATAACTTGTGTTCATTCGAGATGAGTGCAAAATTAAGAATGTGAAATGGACTCAAAATAAAAATGGTATTAGATTGTTTTACGTACCCACAAGTGCACAGTTCGCAGATGCACTGTTCCTTCAGTGGAATTTCCTTGAGAACATCAACGGGCAGTGGTGTCCTCGGTTGCGTGTCACCGTCAAGCGAATCAGGTGACTGATCCCGTCGCTTAGGCTTTTTCTCAGGTACCTTATCCTTATCAGGACTTCTACTCGGTTTCCCAGCTGCTGGTCTAGGTTTACCTGGGGATTTTGGCCTCTCATCAGGCTTCTTCGGTTTACCTGGTGTCACGTGATCCCCCGGCTTCTCCGGTGACCTTGGTCTACCGTCTGGGGACCTAGTGATGATGAGAGAAGAATTAATAAAATTATTAGAATAAGGAAAATAAAGTTTCCCAAATTTACGAGTTGCCACTGAATAATTGAACTGACACTTTAACTAATTTTTTCATCAAATGATGATTTCTCAATGACAATGTTTCATGAGTTGCAATAAAATTTGCATTAATTAAAAACTCCTGAGATGAAGAGGAAAAATTTCAGACAAATTTTTAACAGTGTAACCACGTTTGAGAAAATTTTATAGAAAAACGTAGCGAACTCGTTAGAAAATTCTGTTGAATGAAAATTCTATTAATTCCCCTGCTCTTCTACGCGTTTTATTTTCAATATAAATTTTTAATGGAAAATATTCAATAAATAGAAAAAATCAATGAAATTTGATTTTTCTAAAATTATCTAATTTTTTATTTGATTTTTTTTTTAATGATAAGAGAAAAAAATGGGGTGAACAAAAAATTGGAAAATTCATGTCGAGGAATTCCGACAGAAAATGTCTCAATAGAAAAACCTGTGTTGAAAGATGGAACTCCACTCATTTTTTATATAAAAATAGTTTCCTTTGGCCATTTTCTATTTTAAAAAAGTGTGGTAAAGCTGCGAAATTCTCAATTGAAATTCATGACTAGTCGAATAGAATTCTCTATGAAATTCACTTATGCCAGAAACTAATTGAATTTCCAGTATGAGCTCATCAGAAATCCAATAGAATTTTCTGTCCAATTCGCTAGATTTTTATGTAATTTTAGTGTAATATTCTTACCTTCGTGTATCTTCGGGTTGACGAGGACGACTCGGTTTGCCTGCTGCAGGCAATGGTTTTGGTTTGTCCTCTTCCCGAAGACCTGGGATGCCTCGGGGGTAGCCAGGGCGATCGGGTGTGATTTGCTTAGGGGAATCATCTGGGCCCTTTGGACCGTCGATCCTCTCGAAGTGAGTATTGTCGATAACATTATGTGATACCATGCTAGTCACCTGTTCCTGATTGATAACGTCTTGTGTCGACGTCTCGATGACATCTCTCTATCGAAAAAAAATGAAATGAACAATTAAATCATTTCCTTAAATCACACCATTCACTTCCATCCTCATTACATTTTTTAAGCGAGCAAATTCAGTATCATTAAACGTAAAAAAAAATCATAGCCGTATGAACAAATTTCATAAAAAAACCTAGCGAATTTGTTAGACTATTTTATTGGATTTCTACTGAATTTTTTATGAGTTTTTGGGTGATTCTATTGAAATGTTCAATAGGAAATATTCGATAGAAAAAATCAATCGAATTCGATGTTTCGATACAACTTTTTCTGTTGAGATATTTTCTGTAGATCTTCCTCGGCTAAAATTTTCCAAGTTTTTTTTCGAGAAAATTCTGTAGAAAATAACTCAATAGACTAAGTTGTATAGAAAATTTGAATTCTATTGACTTTTTCGATAGAATATTTTCTATTGAACATTTCAATAGAATCGGCCAGAATCATTTTTGTTGTTCATTTGACATCATCATTTGGTTGTTAATTTTCAAATAAACATGAGATCATAGTGAATACCAGTTATCTCTTCTTGAGATCCATTTGATTAGGAGGAATCGAACTTCTCGTGAATTGAAGTTTCTTTTATTTGTCGAAATAATGAGAGTATTTGATTTATTTCTAGCCAAAAGTTTGCTAACTCCAGAAATTCGTTGGTTTATTCAAAAATCAAAATTATTCTCATGATTAAATACGTTGTTATCTCAATCAACACGATCATACGTTGTTCCAAATAAATTATTTATTTGAAATTGGTTCAAGTATATAGTACTTGTTCCAAGAAAGAAACATCTCAATAAAAATATTTTTTTGTATTAGTGTAGTATAAGTTAATCGCAAAAAACACGTTGGAGATTTTTATTAGGTTGACATTTCGATGAAAAAAAAATCGACTCCCTAATTTTCGGTGACCGGTGACGATTCTGACTAACAAAATCAAATTCCTGAGGGAAAATCACGCGGAAAAACTATTTTAAATTTTTTTCTCTCGAAAAACCAAAAAAATGTTCTCAATCCCAGGGTGAACACCCCCTTAATTTTTTTTCGTACGTGTAATCCCTTGTTTGAGCACTGGTTGAGAAACAATTCTCGAAACGTGACTTAAATTGATTTCATGTGATTAGACAGCTTTAACCACCAGGCAATTAAAGCCAACGACCGTTTACCATTGCTCTAATTATACACCCCAAGTTCGATGCACCTACGTTGCGAAACAAAGACACCGGGTGAAGGCATCCTGATTTAGCCTCCACTGAATACTATGACGTAATGTGTTAATAAACTTAGTGGGTGGATGAGTTGATTTTTTTAGCAATTGAATGAGCCTGTGTGAACGAAGAACATGTGTTTGACCACGAGTGCAATTGTGGGTTATCATTGAATCGATATCTTGTTATACAGGATGCATCAATGGGGTATGGTGAAACCGCATCGCTTAACTCTGAGCTCCTGTATGAGCATTTTCATCGATCATTGGGTTTTTGCGCAGTCTACTGTGAATATCTCACCTGGTGGTAATATACACCGACAGAAATATAATGAGCGGATTTTGTCTCTCTGATTTCATTAAAAAGAGAAAAAATTCGGATTTCCTTCACAAATTTACTGCAACTCGTTGAGTGTAATTAATAATTTCATTTTAATTGAATATTAACTTCAATTTTTGGTGCAATTTTTATGATATTCATAATTATCATAAAAATTACTGAAGAAAATTAATGAATTAAATCCTCGATGAAATCTTCACTCAATGAATGCTTATAGATTTTTAAAAAATCTTGTCATTTTATTAACGATTGTAAACCAAAAGTTTCCATGATACGTTTACAGAAAAAATAGGAAAATCGTTGGGAATTATTTTCAGGTATAATGTTTTTCAAGGAAAAGAATCGATTAATTTCCCATTGAGAATGTCCAATTACCTTTACAGTTTTCAACGAAAAAGCATAGTCACAGCATTTGGATATATCCAAGTGCAGTCGAATTTTAAACGATCATCTGCAGCGAAACGAAATTGAAAATAAAACATACACTTTTATGTTTACGTTGAGAAAAAAATCGCTGACGTAGTGATATGAATAGCCGTCAAGGTTGCTCATGGTAAAACGTATTCATAACAATCGTTGAAATCAATTTGTCGGAAATTGAATGAAGCCGAAGCACGCGATGATATCACTGACGGACTCGGGTGAGCAACTAAGAGAGTTATATTAACACGGTGTTAGCCTATGCAAAACAGACTAACACACGTTTAATATTACATGTCGACCATGCATTACTGGGGCACAAACGTTGTCTTATTTGTATTTGTCATATGGCGTGTCTGGAGAGAGTTGGAGGATACGTTGAATTCAAGACAAGAAGGTGCGTCCGAGGCCATTTAACTCCCTGTGATCGCGTTGACTTGATGAATTCACTCTAATCACGACTACTTCGATTTTTCGCTGCAGTCCCGCGCATTCAATCTGACTGGAACCATTTTTTCTTGGCCATTACGAATGCCGTTGACTCTGGGAATGCATTTAATGAGTCCACTCAAAATTTACGAGAGACAATTGATTACACTGAGAGGCAATGAACATGTTTTCAAACGAGTTTCGTCTGAACAAAAACAAGGGGAAATTAGTTTTATATTAATATAGAATAGTTTTTTGCTTCCGTATAGAAACTTTGTAATCGTTCCCAATTAAGTTTTGGATTTTTTGTGTTATATCCACCGAGTACGATCCAAAAAGTCCGAAAATGTTTTTTTTATTAACTTTGTTTTGTTCTTGGGAGTATTGATGAGAATAATAATTGTTCATTCAGTTGAATGGAAAATTATTAAGAAGATGTGACGGAGAAGACTTTGTCAATAGATTAATTGAAACCAAAATGAAATTTCAAACATGAGTAACCGAGCTTTTTAAATTTCTTTTCATTTTTATTAGGGGATGTAGTGATTGTGATAAATGGGACTTCTCGGTGGTCACTCAACGATCTAAATTTCCATCACAAAAGCCAACATCACCTCTCTCATTTATCAGATAGTTTGAATTACGTGATTGCAATTGCGGAAGTTGAATTGTAAATTCTTTTATCTTCTTCCCGCACTTATTCACCTTGTCGAAGTGAATGCCATTACATCAGGGTTATTTTTAAATTCGCGGGGAGTTTACTTAGATCCTTGAACAGGATCGGGTGAAAGCACCTCTTGATCTCAAATTTTTAAATTTTCATATTTTGATTCCGTTGATATTTCCGATTATTATTGACAATCTCAAGGGAATAACTAATACAAAAAATCTCAAGGGAATAACTAACACAGAAAAATCACAATCCATCGACTTTTTCTCTCAAATGTGTCTCAGAGAAAATCGCTCGGAAACACTGTGAAATCTGCGAAATAATTCCGATGGAATTCCAATAGAATTTTCTTGCCGAAGCATTTTGTTTTTATCATTCAATTTTTCCATACGCAGAGTGTAATAGAATTATAATGATCACTACAATGGGTCACTCAAGATTATCCAATCAACTTTGTTAACATTTCTCCTTATCACCCAATTCACCATTAAATTTATCAACTCGAATGTGAAAACAATCATTAGCCTCAACTATTAACATAATTCTTTCCATGAAGCTCTTGAAACACGGCGCCTGGAGTTATAATGACCACCACAATGGGATACCGAAGATTATCTAATCAACATTGTTACCATTTCTCCGTACCCCCCAATTCTTCACCAAATTCATCAACACGGATGCGAAAACAATCATTAGCCTCAACTGTTATCACCGTCACATTACAGCTATCATTTTCTATTTGGGTTATCTATTTTCCAACGAATGTATCAATTGGCTTCCTCGATGTCACGTTCGATTATTTTTGTTAGTAAATAGTAATCGAATATTGTAAACTCACCACATCCCTCACATCCTTGATCTCTGTGACGTAATTCTCCTTGATAACATCGGTCCTACTCGAGGACTTCTCAATGACAAACGACTGCTGAACAACTTCAGTGACAAACGTTGTATCCACATCATTTTTAGAAACAAAACTCCTGACTGTGGAGTCAGATGGTACCGGTTGTTGCTCCCTATCAGGTTTCCTGGGCTTATCCCTGTCTGAGGGTTTTTTGTCCCCAGGTTTAGTTTTTTCTGCGGGTTTCCTGGGCTCTTTAGGTTTCTCGTAAGTGAACGAACCGTCCCAGGTTGATGAGCCTGGCTTTGTCGGACGGGTGGAACGATCTGTTGGGATCGAAGGGGTTTTCTCGGGACTCGTTGGTTTGACTACACCTTTTTCCGGGCTCTGAGGCCTGTCTCTGGGGCCTCGAGGTGTCTTCCCAGGACCCTCAGGTTTCCTCTCAGGGGAAATCGTTGTGGAGACATTTGAGGAGTCAATTGTCTCGGAATCAACTGCTGAAGACGCTTCGACGGTGATGAATTGCGATGTTGTCGTGGAAATATCGGATTTCCCAGTCTTCAGATCTTTAATAGACACTGGACGCTGATCCTCTGGTCTTGCAAGATCTCTTGGTGATTTAGGCTCTTTAGGTTTCTCGTAAGTGAAGGAACCGTCCCAGGTTGAAGATCCAGGCTTCGTAGGACGAGAGGCTCTGTCTCCTGGACTTGGAGATCTCTTTTCAGGGCTCGGTGGTCGTCCAGTTATTTTTTCAGGGCTCTGGGGACGTCTGGTATCCCTCACATCGTGGAAAACTGTTGTTGAAACGTCTGAAGAGTCAATCGTCTTCGAGTCAATTGTGGATGTTGATTCAACGTTGATGAATTTAGTGGTTGAAACATCAATTTTGTCTGTTCTACGATCAGTAATTGGCTCTGGACGTTGGTCTGTACGTTTGACACCTTTAGGATGCTGAAGAACATCTTTGAGAGTGTCTGCAGGTTTTTTCGGCTGTTGAGGCTTCTCATAAGTGAAGGAACCGTCCCAAGTTGAAGATCCAGGCTTCGTAGGACGAGATGCTCTGTCTCCTGGACTTGGAGATCTCTTCTCAGGGCTCGATGGTTTTCCAGTTATTTTTTCAGGGCTCTGAGGGCGTCTGGTGTCCCTCACATCGTGGAGAACTGTTGTTGAAACGTCTGAAGAGTCAATCATCTTCGAGTCAATTGTGGATGTTGATTCAACGTTGATGAATTTAGTGGTTGAAACATCAATTTTGTCTGTTCTTCGATCAGTAATTGACTCTGGACGTTTGATATTTTTAGGATGTTGAAGAACATCTTTGAGAGTATCTCCAGGTTTTTTCGGCTGTTGAGGTTTCTCATAAGTGAAAGAACCGTCCCAAGTTGAAGATCCAGGCTTCGTAGGACGAGATGCTCTGTCTCCTGGACTTGGAGATCTCTTCTCAGGACTCGATGGTCTTCCAGTTATTTTTTCAGGGCTCTGAGGGCGTCTGGTGTTCCTCACATCATGCAAAACTGTTGTTGAGTAGTCAGAGGAGTCGAAGACCTTTGAATCAACTGTTGTTGTTGATTCTACATTGATGAATTCAGTGGTTGAAACATCTGTGTTTTCTGTTCTACGATCTATAATTGGCACTGGCTGTTGGTCTGGACGTTTGGTGATCTCCTTCGGATGTTGAGGCTTATCAACCGGTTGTTTAGGCTGCTGAGGCATCTCATAAGTGAACGAACCATCCCAAGTGGAGGATCCAGGCTTGGTAGGACGGATCGACTTGTCAGTGGAACTTGAAGGCCCTCCAGGTGTCTTTTCAGGGCTCTGGGGTCTCCGAGAATCTCTTACATCATGTACGAGTGTACTGGAGTAGCTCCGAGAGTCAAATGTCTGAGAATCCTCGGCCAAAGTTGATTCTACATTGATGGATTTCGATACTGTAGTTGAATACTCAGTTTTTTCAGTTTTTCGATCAGTAATTGGCACCGGCCGCTGCTCAGGACGCTTGGATACATCTTTAGGGTGCTGAATAATATCTTTGAGAGTATCTGCAGGTTTCTTCGGCTGTTGAGGCTTCTCATATGTGAAGGAACCGTCCCAGGTTGAAGAGCCAGGCTTCGTAGGACGACATACTCTGTCCCCTGGACTTGGAGATCTCTTCTCAGGACTCGATGGTCTTCCAGTTATTTTTTCAGGGCTCTGAGGACGTCTGGTGTCCCTCGTATCATGGAAAACAGTTGTTGAAACGTCTGAAGAGTCAAATACCTTTGAATCAATCGTCGATGTTGATTCAACATTGATGAATTTAGTGGTTGAAACATCAATTTTGTCTGTTCTTCGATCAGTAATTGACTCTGGACGTTTGATATCTTTAGGATATTGAAGAACATCTTTGAGAGTATCTGCAGGTTTTTTCGGCTGTTGAGGCTTCTCATAAGTGAAGGAACCGTCCCAGGTTGAAGATCCAGGCTTCGTAGGACGAGATGCTCTGTCTCCTGGACTTGGAGATCTCTTCTCAGGACTCGATGGTCTTCCAGTTATTTTTTCAGGGCTCTGAGGACGTCTGGTGTCCCTCACATCATGGAAAACTGTTGTTGAGACGTCTGAAGAGTCAAATACCTTTGAATCAATCGTCGATGTTGATTCAACATTGATGAATTTAGTGGTTGAAACATCAGTTTTGTCCGTTGTTCGATCAGTAATTGATCCTGAACGTTGGTCTGGACGCTTGACATCTTTAGGATGTTGAAGAACATCTTTGAGAGTATCTGCAGGTTTCTTCGGCTGTTGAGGCTTCTCATAAGTGAAGGAACCGTCCCAGGTTGAAGATCCAGGTTTGGTAGGACGTGATGATCTGTCCCCTGGACTTGGAGATCTCTTGTCAGATGGTCTTCCAGTTATTTTTTCAGGGCTCTGAGGACGTCTGATGTCCCTCACATCATGGAAAACAGTTGTTGAAACGTCTGAAGAGTCAAATACCTTTGAATCAATCGTCGATGTTGATTCAACGTTGATGAATTTAGTGGTTGAAACACCAGTTTTGTCTGTTCTTCGATCAGTAATTGGCTCTGGCCGCTTGATATCTTTAGGATGCTGAAGAACATCTTTCAGAGTATCTGCAGGTTTCTTCGGCTGTTGAGGCTTCTCATAAGTGAAGGAACCGTCCCAGGTTGAAGATCCAGGTTTGGTAGGACGAGATGCTCTGTCCCCTGGACTCGGAGATCTCCCAGTTATCCTCTCAGGGCTCTGAGGACGTCTGCCGTTCTTCACATCTGATTCCAAGACCTCGTAAGTCTTTGAATCAGCCGTTGAAGTCGACTCTACACTGATGAACCTCCTGCTGCTTGACACATCGACGCTATCCGTCAACGACTCAGTTAGTCCTGTCTGTCCGACAGCATCCCCCGGAAGCGCGTCTCGTCCAACAGACTTGCAAGGTCTCCCACTTCGCCCATCCGCATCCCTTATCACAGTATCCCTCAACCCTGATGACCCAACCTTATAATCCACGGATCTACTCACCGGCTTCCCGTCGACAATAATCACCGTCTCAACAGCTGTTGTCGACAAATCGATGTTCGAGGAGTCGGAGTAGCTCTCGCGGACGCGCGACTGCTCGACAATAATCGAGTCGTTGACGATTTCAGCGGCTCCGGGGGGTCGGCTGCCCCCAGGAGTCGGACTCGACCTCCTCACGTGTTCATCCCTCCGGATTGTCGAGCTGTCTCTCACATCTGAGAAGCTGCTCTCACTAGCCGACGTCTCCACGATGTACGAAGATGTCGAGACATCTGCCTCGTTTATCGTATTGTCATCGGTTACGTCGCGAATGTCAACGTTCGTTCTTCGATGTCTTCTGTCGGCGGCTCGAGGGGTCGAGGACATCGGGGGCTTCTCGAGGGTGAAGCTTCCGTCCCAAGTGGACTCGCCCGGTTTGAAGTGACGCTTGTCTGCACTACCTGGACGAACCGGTGTTGACGCGCCCCGAGGAGACGACGGCTCCTCTTCTTGAATCGTCGTCGATACCGTCGACACTCTCTCGACTCTTCTGCCGTCCGAGGAGTCTTTGTACTCGACGATGTAAGAGGACGACGTCGATTCGACGATATTGCGCTCCTCAGACACATCCCTTATCTCAACATCGGTTCTCCCTGATGTCTGGATTTTCGTAGGCTCGTTCGTTCGTTTCGTCATTTCACACGATTTATTCGATTTATCGATCACGAAACTACCGTCTAGGAAGTCTCCGGGTCTCGAAGGACGAGCGACGTGATCGTGAGACGATTTATCAATCGACGTGACTTCGGAGGAGGTTTTTACTTCCTCGAAGGACGAAGACTGCTCTGAGGAGGTCCTAAGGTCCTCCTGGTGGCGTGTGAGTTTCGACGTCTTCGCCGGGGCCGGAGTCGTTCTTCCCGGGGTCGCCGGTCTCTCGTACGTGAATCTTCCGTCCCACGTCGACTGACCTGGCTTCGACAGGGGAACGCACTTCGTCGTCTTTTTGTCGTCTGTGAACGTCACGTGAGGTTTTCCCGAGGGTTCCACAGTGGATTCAGTCTGGACGTTCTTCCCGCTAGTCGCCACGACGTTTCCATCGATGTTCAGGCGATTCTCAGACTCGTCTATCCGCACTGTGTCTGTGCACAACTGTCCGTTTCTACTTATCCCCTCGGACACAGTTTTCGCCGATTGACTTGATTCCGTGGATTTCCTGTGAACTTCCGGCGGATTATTCCCAACTGATGCGCTTGATGACTCCTCCGTGAAGGACGAGGAGCTCACCACAGACGATGATGTCATAAAGGTGTCGCATCCCACGTTTTCCCTCTGCATTGCGTCACTCGCGATTTTATGTCTGACTTCTGGACGGGGTTTTTCAATCATCTGGCTCTGTTCACCCTGAATAAAGTCCTCGGATGCAGTTGCACCTTTCACCGACGATTTTCCCTGTCTGATTGTCGCGCCCGGGGTCTCTGTCACTTTGATTATATTTCCCCGCGAGTCCATTATTACCTCGCGCGATCCAGAAGTGATTTCTTTCGTGCTGCTGCGGCTCGCAGTCTCAGCACTTGTGCTCGCCTCAGCAACAATCCGCGAGGATGTCACTGTTGTCTCACCCGAGACCTCCGTCGAGGTCGTCACAGCCTCGGTTCCGTCTTTCATTATTTTTTTCTTCCCACTTTTTTTAATGCCCATCACTTGCTTTTTTATTTACCGAAGCAAAAAATCATTCGTTTATTTTCACTTGTCACTCGAGCTCACTAATTAGTTTTTAAATACCTTTTTCAATAGTACGAAATATGTTCCGATGGTTACTTCAAATAATTTTTATCTTTCAGTATAAATATTTTTTTTTTTTTGAGGAATGGAGTGAAATCGATGGAGTTATCGTGAATAGTTCGAATTTAAATTCCACTTATTTATTTCGATGTTGACGGTGTGGTATCGCGATTCGATGTGGCACAGTTCGCGGCCCGTCTGCGAGTACTAAAGGCGCCTACCTCTCAAACACATTTGAATCGGGGGGATCACCAGCGCTGAGAGACGCGCCAGGGCCTCGTCAATTCCATCTCTCCCACTCCCTTTTGGATTATTCCATCCCTACCATAACTACTTATTGTATTTTTTTTTTTCTGTACGGGCACTCAGTTGAAACTCAACACGTAAGTGAGGGCTCTACACAGGCATTTTCTCACTTCACGCAACTGCACGAATCAACAGACTCCCCTACCTGCGCCTCTTTTTCAACAAATGTTTGAAATGCCTTTTCGATGTGTGCGAATGCCGCGTGGGACGCTGACGGAACGACGTGTCAAGATTTATATGCACGTGTGTGAGTGTTTACGCTCCGCTGGGTTTTAGCGCGCCGGTTTCGTGCGAGTGGGAGACACCGGAATCCACAGGTCTTATGTCTTTTCGGTGTTTATTAGAGGAAAATATTGCATGCGACTCACGCGAGGATCTTCCGCGGATCTTCTCGTTTCCATGTCTGGAACTTTTGACGGGTATTTTTGGAAATAGTTTTGTACCACATGGGGGAACACGCACGAAAAAATTTATAGAAATAGAAAAAATTACCGAATTCGTTCGAAAGTTCTTTTGAAAAAGTCAATAGAATTCGATTTTTCTGTGTAACTTATTCTCTTCAGATATTTTCTGCTGAATTGTCTCGGCTCAAATTTTCCAAGTTATTTTCATTCCATTTTTCTTTTCTTCTCATCAAGACAATCAAACAAAAAAACTTGGAAAATTTAGGCCGAGACAATTCAGTAGCGAAGGGGTAAAACGGTACAAGTCTATTTTGACTAGTGACCAGTTTTCAATGAATATCTCGGAATCTAAGGGAGATAGCAAAATTGTGGTTATAAACTTTTTGTAGAGCCGATTGAGGGCTACAACAATGTAATTACAAAAATTTCCCTTAGATTCGGAAATATCCCTCAAAAGCTCAACAGGGAGTTTAATTATGAAGAGAAGATTAAAGTCTAGAAAAAATCTCGGAAAATCTGAAAAAATGAGTGAAAATTCTGTGCCCAATGTAAAAATTATGCCCGAAATGTTATGTCAGACGAGAGGCTATTATTTAAAAAAATCATTGAAGAAAGAATTTAATGGATCAATTTTTTTACACTCATCAGAGTTAGATTCATGGGAATAATTATCACTGATGAATATTTTTTTTGACTTTATGAATTCATTTTTCTTCGTTACACTCACCGACTCAACTGGAGTTTACTCATACTACTTTAAGTAGAAAAAGACCGGCTGTTTTCACTGAACCATTCTCATAACTCCTTCCGCAAGGTGGATTTCTCGTTTGTTTTGAGAGGTTTAGACCCCCGGGATTATTGTGGCGAGGTCGTTAGTCATTTTTGGGGCGTGTGTTTGTTGATGAGGGCCTCCGAGAAGTGAGACTCTATTAATGGTTGTTCGGTGTTATCGAGAGCGTAATCGGTCATGTGAGTCAATGTTTTTTTGGTGCGTATTTCAAGTGGATTCCAGGTCGGAGTTATTTCAACTCGTCGTCTCCCAGATGTATTCATTCCTTCATTTCTTCATTTACTTCATTATTCATTTATTTATTTCAAATTTCACACGATTCCCACAGCCACAGCCGATAAGGGGATCCAATATAAATAATGCAAAGTATAATGATGATAGGTGTAAAGTAAATGATAAGTGGTATAAAATGTAGAGGTCAGCAGTTCCAAAACGGCAGTTTTATGAACAATGCATATTAGATCCAATCTAATGCTATTACTAGGTCTTGGGGTCTTTCAAGGCCTTTCTCTACTTGAGCAGATCCACGCCGAATTAACAGGCCAAACAAGTCGATGCCGGGGATTTTTACCTCTATTTTTTTCTGAGAAGACGGTGTTTATACAAAAATTTTGAAGATTTAAAAATTGAAAAATTACATAATAATAATCCGATGAAATTGTCAGTCTCCAATTCTGAATTTCCGTGAATTTTTCTACTCATTTCATCAAACGACACGGATAGAAATCTAATTCATAGGTATTCTTCCATTAGTCGAAAAAATATATCGATTTTAAAGTACTTAATTAAATCCTCGATTACCAATAAATGAAAACTCTTGGAAAGACGTATTTCCATTGCATATTTCGATAAATAATAGTTTTTCACACAAAAAATCTTACTGAAGTTGAATAATAGAAGATATAATGAGTCTAACATCCACCATTTGCTAATATTTAATTGAATATTCACTTATTTGGGCGATAATTGCGTGAATAACAGCGATTTTCAGAAAAAATTTGAGACGAAAATGGCCAGCATCGATTTTTTTGTCCTGCTAATTTGACGTGGATCCACTCATTTACAATATTTAGTACAACATTTGATTGAAATCTGGTTTAAAAAATTCAAATTAAAAAATGACTCAATTGTCTTCCGGTAAAAAAAGGCGAGACTTTTTTTATTATAACAATGACGACACTTGCTGATGAGCTTTGAATCACCATCACCTAAATCATTGCGCAATGAATTTTCAGAAAGATGATGAACGGAGTTTTCTGTGGTCTCCAAAATTGTGTTAAAATTCTCCGAACAGTGTAGACAGAAATGGCAGTATTATTGAGACGAATAGAACGTTTGACGAGGTTGAAGGAGTCACCAAGGAAATTGTAAAAAAAGGTGGGGGCGAGAGTCACCCAGTGAAACCGGTTAAAACGTAAAGCAAGCGATGACGTAGGCCTTCTTTCCCCTCTTTTCGACGATGCGAAAGGCAACATGCAGGAGGAATCGTCCAAGTCCAAGAGTTTGTTTGAATTTCTCATGATTTTTTTTTATATATGTTTTTTTCGTTTCGTATTATTCTCGTCTACTCTTCTTGAACTCCTTTCGTTCTCGTCCCGTTCATTCCTATTTCGGAGACCTTTCGTGGTAAGAACGGGCAAAAAAAGAAACAAGAATTAAAGTGGGTCACGGAAAAGCTTGTAATTCAATGAAAGGGGGGGAAAAAGTTGAAAGACTCTTGTAAAATCGTCGAATGGTTTTATCAGGGGAGCAGTTTTATTTCGGTTTGGATTATTGCGTGATTCTTGAGATCGGACAGAGCATTCACATGAATTAACTGCGAATTTCTGAAGAAAATTCGCGAGATGATTTTTTTTCCTTGACGCCGGAATGGAAATTGCAACAAATTCTCAACGTAATTTGTTGCAAGTTCGAGGACTTGCAACTGGAGATCGTCCGCCAGCAAAAACGAATGTCTGAATTTCACACACCTATTATCGACTTTTTTCGGACACTAAAAAACATCTGAATAAAATGAAAATGTGCCTGAATTTCAGACGAACAGGTGCCCAAACATTTTAATTCCTGTTTGAAATTCAAACTAATTTTCTTTTATTCGGACGTGTTTTAGTGTCTGAAAAATGTCTACAAAAGGTGTGTAAAATTCAGACATTCATTTTTGCTGTGCGAGGGCCTTCAGCCAGATTTCATTAGATTTTATGCAAAATTAGAAATTTCATGATTCTTCTCTCCTAATTCGAATTCAATGTCGCTCTTCTGAAAATGATTACTGAGATCGCCATGCAATTTAAATTTTTTTCCAACAGTGACAACAGATTTTAGAGGTTATTGTTAATGTAGATTTTCCCAACGTAAGAATTCCCGTAAAAAAAAAGAATCAAAAAAGTGAACGGAAAATCTAGCAATGTAAGCCTCAATTTTCCCCAATCATTACACGATCCACGATTATCATGTTCAAGAAACGCAAAATGGTTTCACAAAATGTGTCTTCTTCCCTCGCATGCCGTGAGACGCTAAACTGCTCGTTAAAAATTCTAAACGACACACAGTCTCGATGTATCGTGATAACTTCACGTTTGTTTGCTAGTTGTGTCACACGAATAACTCGTGAGTTTCAATATCAAGACTGAAAGCATCACGACGACACCAAAAATTTATTCTAATCCGAGTAATTAAGGCGGTGTAATTATATGATTAGCTTTAACCATGCAATTACAGGAACGAAGGGGAGATTTTCGCTAATTTGGTGAAAAGAATCTCGAACACGTAGCGCTGAACACTGGACATCATTCCAGATGTTTCGGTTTCGTTTAAACGAACATGAGTTTCTCGTCTGCGGGGAATTGAGAGAATTCATTACTCGGTGACCATTAGACGGGTTTTTCTTAGCCGATTCAGCGATGAAAAAGATCACAATATTCCTTCGCGTCGAGTTATTTATGGCCAGCAAATAAATAGAGTCATGATTGTTATGTAAAAAATTTTGCTATGCGGAATATAGCGAATTGGCTGTTTCTTTTTTCCTCGGCATTTGCACTGATGTGAGCAAAAAATTACTTGACTATTCCGACGATTATTTCTTCCATTTTTCTCTCATGTGAATACACGTTATCTAGGTATTCGTTTGCATAATGAGTGTCATCACAGGTGCGTACCTATAATTTTCCTATTACCCACAAACTGAACAAAGTGGAGATAACGAAACTATTGCGGAAATTAAATTCACGTGCGCAGAAAAATGAAAATATTTCGTTTTCGAAAATCGGTTGTCCCACGATAACTAAAAACAAGTGGATAATCGCATTTTCTGTATATGGGTATAGTTTATGTTGCTAACAAATTAGCAATATGGTTCCGAATGGATTCTCTATTTTTGAAATTAGGTCTCTTATTTTTTATTGTTTTGAATAGTGACATTCATATGACTCTCTTATAATCTCTATATTACCCGTTTAGGAGCCCATATGACCCTCATATTCTCATAATCTTGAGGTACACTGTTAGAAAAAAAATTCACGTGCACAGAAAAATGAAAATATTTCGTTTTCGAAAATCTGTTGTCCCGCGATAACTAAAAACAAGTGGATAATCGCATTTTCTGTATATGGGTATAGTTTATGTTGCTAACAAATTAGCAATATGCTTCCGAATGGATTCTCTATTTTTGAAATTAGGTCTCTTATTTTTTATT